GGTGAGTTCATCTCGCCCGCCGATCGTTCCCTGCGTCCTGGATGGTTTCGGGTCGTTCTAGATGTCCGGCCGCCGCTCGAACGTAGGAGAGACGAAGGTCGCGGTGCTGGGCGAGTGCTGGCGGCATCTACGAACATGGCAAGTTCGTGTTTATTCGCCCGCATCGCAGACTCACTTACCATGCTGCCCTCGATGTGCTAGCCTCGCCCCCTCGACGTTCGTCGCCCTGTTCGTCGCCACCTGTGTTCTTGATCCCTGTGTCGAGGACCGTGCTCCATACGGGCGGTACGGTTCATCTGCGAACATGATAAGTTCGTGTTTCTCGGCCGTGTTGTAGACCCACTTACCATGTTGCTCCCTTCGTGACAGCCCCACACACGACCTTCCCGCCCTCGCCGCCAGCGTTCTTGGTGAGTTTCCTGACTCCGTTGGTCGTTGCGCCCGCTGATTTCGTGTGCTGAAGGGTGCCCACGCCTTGGAATAGTGTCGGCGTGCTGTGCGACGGAAGGAAGGGACGGCTGGGTGAAGTCCGCCGCGGTAAGCTTGAGGTTGCCCCTTTAACGTTGTGTAGGAGACTCACCCATGGTGTGGGTAGCCTCTCCCATGTGCCGTGCACGACCCACAACGACCTACGTTGTGGTTCTGGATGTTCGTGTCGTCCATGGTAGATGCACTCACGATGCGTATAGCCCGTGGTGCCTGGGTGAGTTGGGGTTGCTCGTTACTTAAGGACTACGTAGTATAAATGTATCAGTAGGTGTATGTGCAATAATAAACGAGTCAAATTACAGAGATTGAGTGAGATCTCCAAGTTGGAAGGGCCGGGACTTGCATGCCTTGTCGAGACGGCGGACGGGACGGGCGTTTGAGCGGAGGGATGGCAGGAGGAAGAGGAGCACGCAGGGAGGGACGTGGTGAAAGGCAAAGTTGGCAGGAAACGAGTGTGTTGGAAGGGAAATGAGCGCGGGTAGCGGGCCGGGTGCGCAGCCAATGAGCGAGAAGGGAGGGCGCGAGTTTGGTGGGGAAGGACGGTGCAGCGAGGGGTCGACGTCGAGAGCAAGTCGATGGCCATCGATTTGAGTGCAGGAGAGCGGATGGGCAGTTGGACCCTTCCCCCAGGTGAAACCTAGCGTTCGTGAGTCCTGTGATATCGGATGTTTGTTGGTTCAGTCCAACCATAAGGTCAGGTTTTAAAGTCTTGATTTCTCGAGTAAACCTCCGCCCCGGACCCTTCTATCTCCTCATTTCAGAGAGACAAATTGAAACGAGGACGATTGGACGCACGGTGGACGCGTATCTCCTCCCCAACCTTGCCCCAACAAAATCCAACCAGCGACGCTTCGTTGTATGACATGACACAATTCTTTCCCTGAATTCCAGAGACGCGGAAAGAAAGGACATTCGATCCGAGGTAGTGAAATCTCGACAAGCGTAGGACGAAGCCTTGGTCGTCGCTCTCCGGAATAAATGATTAGGTAATCGGAAAATTCAGTCTTCGGGCCGGGGTGCGCCACAACTAATCATCTATGGCATTCCGTCGAAATAAGGAGTGCACGGTCCGGTCCTGTGGAGTCAGCGGCAAGGCTTGCAAAAAACGAGCCTGAGATTTCGTGATTCATGAGCCAAAAGTCGGCCAAGAGCCTGTGTCTTATTTGCGGCTGAGCGTCGATTGGTCGTGTAAGTATGACATATACGATAAGGGATTGTAAATGTATATCAATGGCATTCGTGGGTCGGAACGCTTGACTCGAACATAGAGACTGGTATATAAATATTTATACCTTAGACCTATACCGCTCCCGCTCCAGGAATGGCGTGAGGGGCGATTTCAAAATATTCGGCTGAGGCGTCTTGGAAAAAGACCAAAGTTCATCGGACTGGGTTAGCACCTAGGAATATGCAACCTGTCACCAATGTCATTGTTGACTCGGTAAGCCCTGCTTATCGACGAGGTTGCGTATGTCCTAAGTGCCTGCTCCAATTTTTTGTTCAGGTATTTGAACCCTGCGGGGCATATGGAATGTCTCTTGGTGATATCTATCAAACGTAAGTCATCCCTCATGGAGAGAATCAGGGAGGTGGTGTCCCTGCTATTTGAACAGACAGTCCAACGATGTAGACAAACAGTCGGTATATCTATATAGGCGGAAAGAAGTCGATTCATATTAAAACGTCACCCACGCGGGGGCGTCGAAATTTACCCAATACATCATAGCTATTGGTACTGCTCATGGCCGGCAGCATTCTTAATCAAATGACCGGAGTTTGCAGGCGAAAGGTGGGGGCAAGTCTCCCAAGGGAGCAAGGAAGGAGGGGAGACGGGGTAACGATTTCCCTATGCTCGCCCGAGCAGCCGACTAAGAGGTTGGTGCTAATATGGTGGCCGTATTTGGCAGGCCTCCTTCCAGATCAAGCCAACCGGCGCTGCTAGCATCACTTACTAAGGGACAACGCGAATGGAGATGTTCAAGCGGCCAAATATCGGTCGGAAGACATCCCTCATTCAAGTCGAAACAACGATATTCCTCACTCCTTTTGAATCTAGCCCTTTAATAGAGTAACCTCTAGGGTAATTGGGCCCAATAGCCTCCCCTCCCTGCTTACATCGTGGATATTTGATCCACTCCGTTGGTGGCAATAATTTGGGATTGCTCTGTTGATGTTCTAATTAATATCGGACGCGAGCTGGAGAACTACTTTGGTTTGTCATGATTTTGGCGTGCAGATGATCTGACCGTGACATGAAGAAATGTTACAGCACCAAAACACTGTTCTTCATCATAGCATAATTTCTACTTAACGTCACTCCGTAATGCTTACCTGCTGCCGTTCAATGATTTGATTTCCTACTAAACAGCCTGCATGAGCGCTGATGAACCTCGGTGTGCCACGTATGCGTGAGTGGATAAACGGCCGCATTTACGTGATAATGCAGTATGTTTCTCCCTCAAGCAGGACTTTTGGAGGCTTCTTTTATCCTTGTCTCTAATCAACTCTTCCAGGAAATAGGGGAACATCCAAATGCAGAAAGTAGGAGTGGCTGTGCAACATTCGTCACGCTCGCAGCCGCAGCGCCCTGATTCTTGACCAATATCCTCAACGTTGGGAACCATGAGCAGACGGCGTAGCGCCGCAAACTTGTGCAGAGGTGTGCTCATATCTCTATGGGCGCTCCTGGCAGCGGGCCAGGGCTCGCCGTCTCACGTAGTCAGCTCTTTCAACAATCTCCCTGCGCGTCTACTATTCTTCGACGACACGGATGTAAGTTCCTCCTTCAAGCTGCATATCGTCGCCTGCTTATATTTTGAATGAATAGACCGCAATTTATCATGATTCGATGGAGGGAAACATCTATGTATCTCAAGACGAGGGCAAGAACTGGAAGCGTGCTGAAGGAATACCGTCCGGCAAAGCTGCCATGTTCTTTGAGCATCCTGTCGACAATCGATTTGTGAGCGCCGATGCTGTTCGTTCCAAGTCTCTTTGCCCACTTCTTGCAGGGGTTTGTGCTTACAGACGGCAAGACTCACTACCGAACAGAGGATCGAGGACGAACGTGGCGACCATTCGATGTTCCAATGGAACCTGCCCTCACACCCGCCCCACTCTCTTTTCACTCAGACCCAGCGAAATACGGATATATCCTCTATCAGGGTACTATTTGTGACCGTAGAGGATGGGGAGCTTCGTGCCACGACGAGGTGAGGAGGATGACGTTTCGCTTGGCGCATCTAAGCGAGGCTCCTAGACATACTACACGAAAGAGGCGTTCAGTGATGATGTGAAGCTTCTCAAGAAGGACACTGCAAGATGCCAGTTCGCACATAGCTCGAAAGAGTTCAAGCACGAAGCACCTTCGGACCTAGTTTTCTGCGTCGGATACGACAGCGGCTCGCACGACCTGGCGTCGAGTCGGTTCTTCTCAAGCAGCGACTTTGAGAACTGGAAGATGGAGGACTTTGGGATTGGGAAGAACGCGAGGGGTGTGATTGCGTTCGCCATCGTGTCCAAATACGCTGTTGTGGCTATGAAGGACCTGAGTGCAGGCCCCAACGGCGACTTGCACCTCTATGTGTCCGTCGACTCGCAGACATGGGCGCGAGCTCATTTCCCACATGCCACTTCTGCCCGACTTCGCGAAAACGCATACACCATGCTCGAATCGACGACGCATTCATTGGCTGTTGACGTGGTCCTCCAAGACAAGAGCCCGATTGGCACCCTCTTTGTCAGCAACTCCAATGGCACGTACTTCGTTGAAAGCCTGAAGGACACAAACCGCAACGACTTCGGGTATGTCGACTACGAACGCATTTATGGGATTGAGGGCATTGGTGTGGCAAACGTCGTGGCGAATGCACAGGATGTCGAGAGGCGAGGAGAGCGCAAGAGGATCAAGTCTGCCATCACATTTGACGACGGCAGCTCCTGGTCGCCCATCAAACCTCCAGAGCAAGACGTAGAGGGCGAACGCACCTCTTGCGACACTCGAGACCCAGAGACGTGCTCTCTTCACCTCTTCTCCGTCACAACACCGCACAATTTCGGACGCATCTTTTCTTCGCCTGCTCCGGGCTTCGTCATGGGCGTTGGGCACGTGGGAGAGAATCTGTGGGTGTATGATGAGAGTGACACATTCCTCAGCACAGACGCGGGCTTGACGTGGCGGATGGTTGCCAAAGGAGCACACAAATACGAGTTCGGAGATTTGGGTAGCATTCTGGTCATCGTGGACGACGAAGAGGCTACCGATCATGTCAAATACTCTTTGGACCTGGGCAAGACTTGGTATGCACCATGAACGATGCATTACCACGTATACTAATTGTCCATTTTTACAGGACTAAATACGACTTCGGTATCAAACTCCGTGCTCGTGGCTTGACCACCCTACCAGATTCGACGTCGCAAAAGTTCCTCCTCCTCGGTCAGGTCTCGAAGAAAGACCAAAAGAAGGACATCGGACGTGTCGTTGTTGTGCATCTCGACTTTTCAAAGACCCGTGGGCGCAAGTGCAGCGAGAACGACTTTGAGAAGTGGTATGCGCGGCAGGAGACCTCAGAGTGCTTGATGGGGCACATGGTGCGTGTTTGCTGCGTGGTGGCTCAGTCTGCAGTGTTGACGTGTCATTGGTCCTGTAGCAATGGTACAAACGGAGAAAACCCGAGGCCAACTGCTATGTTGGCGAAAAGTTCAAAGATCCAGTCGTGCATGAGGACAACTGCAAGTGTACCGAGCTTGACTATGAGTGGTCTGCATTTTCTTTCTTCCTGCTCTCCCTTCTTGTGATGATGGCGGTTACTTTCTAGCGACTTCAACTACGTACGCAAGGGCGACAAATGTGACCCTGTTGGACCCGAATCCATCCCTGCTGGCGTCTGTTCGCGGCCTGACGGCACCTACCTCGGCTCTTCCGGGTATCGCAAGATATCAGGAAATACTTGTGTGGACGGTGTCAAGAAAGACGAGAAGGTTGAGAAACCATGCTCGCAAGGTATTGCGATTTGCTTCCTCTCGTTCGACCGTCTTCACGTCTGACGTGTCTTTTGAATAGCTCAACCAGCCGAAGGAGAAGTTATTCATAAGAAATTCTCATTCAATGGCCAGATCGTGCAGCACTCTTACTTTAAGAACTCACAGGTAAGCTGGGATATGGTTGAAACGTGCCATGAGCTTACGATTATTCTGTAGACTATTCTTGTGCGTTTGAACGATGGCTCGATGTGGCAATCCAGCAATGAAGGATATCTCTGGGATCCAATCCTTAAAGACCAACGTTTCCTCGTCTTCTATCACCATAAATACTCCGACGACCGCGCATTCCTCATCACCGACACCGACACCTACTATTACACCACCGACACTGGACGAAACTGGCACCCGGCCAAGGCCCCCACCCCGCCTAACTCCTTCGGCGCACAGGTGTTGCGTTTCCACCCGATTTCCGACTACCTCATCTGGACAGGCAACCGTGACTGTCATGCCGCCACTTGTCGAGCAGAGGCTCAGTACAGTCGAGACAATGGAAGACACTGGTCGATGATCGATGATTATGTCCGAAACTGTGCCTTCGCAAAGGACTCGGAGATCAATGCAGACCCGAGCGAGATCATCTGCGAGTCGTATAGGGACAAGAAGGGCAACCAAAGATACTTCACTGCGGCAAACCCACTTGAGCTCGTGGTCGGTTCGAACTTTTATGACACCAAGAGGAAGTTGTTCAACTCCGTCGTTGGTTTCGCCAAGTTTTCCGAGTTTTTGGTTGTTGCGGAGGTGGGTTTTATTTCGCTTGCCATGTATGTAGCGTTAAACTTCCGTTCCGACAGATGATTCCGGAGAAGAAGTCGCTCGAGCTCGAAGTTTCGCTCGATGGTCAACACTTTGCGACGGGTCAATTCCCACCTAGCATGCACCCGGAGACTCACGTGCGTACCCTTTCTTCCGCTCTCCTTGTATCCTTAAGACGTTTCTCTCGCAGGCCTACACCATTCTCGAGTCTAACACCAAATCTCTCTTCCTACACATGACCATGTCGGAGCCACCAGCACCTTACTGGGGCACTATTCTCAAATCAAACTCCAACGGAACGTACTTCGGTATTTCCATCGACAATGTCAACAGGAACGAATACGGCTTTGTCGACTTCGAGAAGATGATTGGGCTCGATGGCATAGCGCTGATTAACATCGTTTCTAACGCAGATGAGGCCGTCATCTCCGGGAAAAAGAAACTCCAGAGCAGGATAACACATAACGATGGTATTTTATTTTCTCGTTTAGACGTCTGTTGGTCTCTAACCCGGAGTTGTAGGAAGCACCTGGACAGCTCTCAACCCGCCGCCTACGGATTCGCTCGGCAACAAGTACGAATGTCAAGGAACAGTAAGCCCTACCTTGCCATAACCGCATAACCTTAGTGATAATTTCTCCTCCCCAGAAGTGCCAATTGCACGTTCATGGCTACACGGAGCGACGAGATCCTAGAGCTACATTCAGCAGCCCGTCTGTTGTTGGGCTTGTGATGGCAGTCGGAAACGTTGGCGAGAATCTTGCTCCGTATACGGACAGCGACACATTCTTGAGTCGCGATGGCGGTTTCACGTGGGAGGAAGTGCACAAGGATGCTCACCTTTGGGAGTTCGGTGACTCAGGCTCTATTTTGATCATGGCGAACGACGAGGAACCCACCTCGATCGTCATGTACACGACGGACGAAGGCAAGACATGGCGCGAGTACCAGTTCTCGGACCATCCGATGAGGGTCACGTCTATTGTTACTGTTCCGTCCGACACTAGTCGGAGGTTCATTCTATTTGGCAGCTATCCGAAGTCGACTGGGTCAGAGGCAATCCATATTGATTTCTCGTCTTTGACCTCCCGTAAATGTGAGTCCGTTCCTAGTAATGCTTCTGATGGTCATTGAAGAAACTTTACTTTTTCTAGGCATCGTCAGTGTCGAGGACCCTGGAAAGGATGACTTTGAACTCTGGAGTCCGAGCGAAGAACGTTCTGAGCAATGTCTTTTCGGCAGACAGGTATCTTTGCTGTATTTTATTTTATTTGCGGACCTGATTTAACGACGGCTTTTGTAGACTCTCTACCATCGACGGGTCCGTGACAGAAACTGCGTTGTTGGCGTACAACCCAAGGCTGCCAATCGTATCGTCCAAAATTGTGCTTGCACAAAAGCCGACTTCGAGTGGTCCGTCAACTCCTTTCTTCCAGTATTCATGGCAAATTTACTCTTCCTTCACAGCGAATTCAACTATGTCAAGGACGCAAATGACGAATGTGTACTCGTAGAAGGGACAACACCTCGGCCAGACGACGATTCGTGCAAGAGCGGGGAAGAATTCTGGTACGAACGTACTGCGTACCGTCTGATCCCCTACTCGACCTGTGTCGATGGCTTCCGCCCTGATCGCGGTGCCGAGCACAGGTGTCCAGGGTTTAAGTCGAAAGGAACCTTGTTCTGGTTGTTCATGCTCATTCTGCCGTTCGGATTTACGGCTATGGTGGCGTATTATTATTACAGGAAGAGCGGTATGGCGAGAGGGTACGTGTGGTTGTCCTTTCGCGTTCTCTTGACTCCAAGCTAACAGTTCTTTATTTCAATCAGGACGATCCGCCTTCCAGGTGACGCTCAGTCACCATTCAACCGCGATTCAGGCGCTTTGGCCACCCTCGCTTCCATTCCGTGGTTCCTCATTGGGCTGGCTGGTATCGTTTACGAGTCGGTCGCTTCGTGGCTGGACAGCCATCTCCTGGGGTCGAGGAGAGGGTACCGAAATTTGCCGATTGATGAAGATGCTCAGATCCTACGATTCGAGGACGAGGATTGAGATGTCTGCGGGGTTGAGAAAATATAGATGCCTGCACACGTTCGAGGGTTGCTGACTAGATTCGGGTGGATGTAAGTGGGGTCGTGGTAGAAGCTTTTGTGGACGACAGCCTAGCCTAGCTTTGCACTTCGTATATTGCCTGCGTGCACCTCTATGCTTTTGATGTATTTATTTAATTCCTATGGTAGTCGAAGTGCCTGTTCTGTATATTTTAATCGACAGCTTCAAACCCCAGCAAGAGATGGTGTGATCATGCTTTTTATTGAAGATACTCAGCTCAGGATCATACGGCGTATACTTAGAGACGAACTATGAATGACGAACTACGAATGAATTCCTGTGATTCATTTGTGGTATGCGATTGCGAGGTATAATAAATACGCCGACCTATGTCGACGTTCTAAGGATATGGGTTAACGATAGCGAAGTGATGCAGCGACGATATAAAGCAAGGGAGAAATATGATGTTGCTTGGGATGAGTGCACGTTTGGGAGGGTGAATTGGAGGGGCATGAGGCTCGTAAGAGGCGTTGATGATGGATGAGGAGTTTCATAAAGGCATAGCGGATAAGGTTGGCTTGCGATTTCGCTGGTGGTCATGATCTCCTCGACTTTGATGATGACGGTCTCAGAGTCTGTTTTCAAAGCTTGAGAAACTTGGCAATACGTAAAAGCAGAATTACGCACCGTGTAGTCAATGGCAAAGTAGCCCGCCAGCATAAGACCAGCCGCTGCGAACGATATAACTGAAGACCCGCCCATCATGGCGAACAGCAGCGGGAGTATTCCGTACGGCAACAACGAAATAATGTCAATTGCCGTCGATTTCGAGCGAGAAGTGGGTCTGTCGTACGTGTCGCGTGCCCGTTTCCGATGGCCTGTGCTATGCGAATGTCGCGAGGAGCGATGACGGTCCTTGTCCTTCGACGACCCGATCGACGGTTTCCCCGTCGTCGCTGTCGGGGCACCCCTTGAGGTTTGGCCGTTTCGTGAGCTGCTTTTCTTCGTAGAAGAGGCGGGGCGTGTACGAGAATGGGAATGGGCGCTTGGGTCCTGATCGACGTCGCGCGTGGATCTTCGATGGGGGGATGATGATCTCCTGCTTCGGTGATCGAGTTCACGACGGACGTTGTCGTCCTCGTAGGTCCTGTCAACAGTAACCTCCTTCCGCAGTGAATGAGACAATTCCTTGGTTGAGCTGCCACCTCGCGCTGAGTTGCCAGAGCGCTGCGCATTTTCTAGAGGACCAGCCTCTGACGAGTCCTGCTCCGTTGGAACTTCTGGGGGGTCGTATACGGCGAAGGGCATGTGTCGACTCGTCTCGATGATCCATTGCTCTACACGGCGTTGTGAAGACCGGACGCGTTCACGATATTCCGAAGGTGTCAGCTCTCCTGGCATAAATAACCGCTGGGGATGGTGAAACGTGAAGCAGGTTGCGCAACGGAGAATAGAGAATCGAAAAGGCAGAAGATGGAAGATATGAAGAAGGCCTCGTCAAGATGGCAAGGCCTGATGAATGCTTCCTATCGAGAGGAAGGGTGGTGGGCAGTGAAGCTGGAGGCCAGCAGCACCTACACGTGTGGTGGTCGCGGTTATGAACAGCGCACGACTTCTGGTCGGCTAGGCGCCTCATGGCCGGCGCGTTATGTACATCGCTGCCGCCATGAAAAATAAGGGTCTCCCGATCAGATATTGGAGGCCATTGTCTCCGCCATTATGTTGTTGGTTGGTACGAAGATGTTGGCAGTAGAACGCCCCAAGGGAAGGGAATTCTACGAATGAAATATTACTGTACGCAAACAAGCTAGAAAACACCTATAGGCTACATTGTCAAAAAAATAGTCGCTACGAAATAACTTCATCACAAGTGAAAAAATCCATTACACATCCTGCCTAACAATCAACAAAACAGCGAACGAATATTCGCGACTAGTGCGTCGAGTGAGTGTCTGCTCTCCAATAGCTACTGGATTAAATACGAATGGCCCATGTCCGTAGGGTCCACATGCATCGCGGTTTTTAAAGAAGCGGGAAGCCAGTGAGTACAGCGACTCCGAAACCAATGACGATAGAGAACGACAGCGAGAGGGCGGGTATTTTGGCGCTAGAGGCTTCTGAGGATGGAACGATGTAGAAGTTATCCTTCAGGAGGTCAGAAGCTTGCTCGGCGACACCGAACGTTGCCGAGGCCAACTACAGGTCGCGAAAAGTAACGGCTCCAATGAGAAAGAAGTCCAGAGAGTCTGAGAGTGATGGACGTACATGTGCGGCGAATTCGAAAGGGAAGATAGCGGAATCCGCAACCCGGACATTGGCTAGACAAATTGAGAAAAGACGCGATTAAACTTCTTCACAAATCGAACACGAAGAAAGTCACGTACCAAGGCCGTAAACCCTAAGGTTAGCATCGACCACACCACCGAGGTTCCTGGGCAGCATAGCACAGCTGCCTGTCGGGTGGAACTGGGTGCTAGCGGCCGAGTTGACGAGCCACTCGTCGAGCTGTTCGTCGGTCTGCACTTCAGGTCCAGGGGAAGTCTCTGTTCCAAAGGTCTCGCCGAAGGCAATGCCGACCTGGCGAACGAGCTTGACGCCTTGGCGCATCAGGACAAGGTCTAGAAAGAGTCGACAGTGGGTAAGGTTCCATCCGAAAGACCAAGTCACAGAAGATATTCTGACGCACCAGCAAAGTGACTGTAATATTGCGGGTCAATAACGATAGGGTCGAAGGGGTTCGAAGAGTTGATGTATGCCCGCCCTTGACTGAAAGGGTGCTGGATAGCGCTTTGGATGCTAACTACACCAGGCGAGATGACGCTCATGAGCATCTCGAGTTGGGCGACGTCCGGGAAGAACCTGTTCGCCGTAAGCTCGTAGATCGCCCTGTAGCCCGCTCTGACTTCGGATGAGGTGCTGGGCACGAGGTTCTGCACGGAGTCATCGGTAGCTGCAATAATTTCTTGCTGGAACTCGGTTCCGGGCCCGTTGAATAGTGCGGAGATGTTGGCAAAGGCGACAGCGTCGTTGATGAATGACATAAATTCAGGCGAGCGAGCGAAGTCAGAGTTGGAGTCGTGGATGTTGCCTGCCGTCTCGAAAGGCGTCTCCCAGACTACACCGGCAGTCTACAGAAGGGAAGCGGGTCAGGCCTGTTAATTCTGACTTGTGAATACCGTTACGCACCATGTGATCCTGCAAGTGCTGTCCAACGCCCGGTAGCTCAACCGTCACTGACACACTCGATGATTCCAAGACGTCTCTGGGCCCAACACCGCTGTGCATGAGGATCTTGGGGCTTCCAAGGGCCCCGCCAGTCAAGACGGCTTCTCTCCTCACTCCAACGGTCTGCCTTGCCGAGTCGGCATCCCTCGCGAACTCCACTGCTCGTGCGTAGTAATTGCCGGAGCCATCAGTGTTGTCTGACAGGACGACACGAACAACAGTCGACTCGGGGAGAATGTGGAGGTTGGAACGGGCGATATGGGGGTCGATGTAAGCAGAGCGGGAGTAAGAGCGTGTCCAGTTCGTCGGGTTGATGGAAGAAGGCGTGATAAATCCGCCAAGGGTAACACCGCCGTTGGGATTTGGGAGTTCAGCGACGCCGGCGGCTGCGAGCGAAGATGTCCAGTTGGATTGGATGTTGATCTGGCTGGAGTTAGAAGCGAGCACCGTCAGTAATGTGGATCATGGCAGGGAAGCAGGATTTGCAATGAACACAAAAATAGCCAATTAATTAATTACTCACATTGCAGGATACGAAATCTGCATAGGTCCTCCAGAGCCATGCGTCGAGGCGTCGAACTTGATGTCGACTACAGAGAGGACTTCTGGTGTCGGAGCCGTGAAGTTCTCGCTCTTCTTCATGTTCTCGAACATGTTGTCCCAACCCCACCTCGCTGCGGCCGTCGAATCTCCGTTCTGTGCAATGATCTCCTGCCAGGCGTCCATCTCCTCCCTCGCAGGCCGCACAAGATACATGGCGTTCATCGCAGACGAGCCTCCGAGAATCTAGCACGGAATGGTTACGATGACGTACAGCAACGACGAAGGCAGCGACAGACCTTGCCCCGAGGCCACCCTACAACGCGATTGTTAAGGTTAGGTTGTGGTTCGGTGACGTGCTTCCAGTCGTAGTCCGTGCCGACGATGGAGGTGTAGTATGTTCCAGCAGGAGGATCTGGCGCAAAATCAGACAGGGATCAATGCCATCAACACAACGCAAACGCACTGATTCGGTCTGCCACTGCGTCGCCCGAGAGCCCTGCCTCGAGGACAAGCACGGAAACGTCGGGGTCTTCCGTGAGACGCGAGGCAATGACGAGGCCTGCGAGCCCACCGCCTGCGATCACGTAGTCGTAGGACGACTGCAGTTCGGAGTCGGAGATGATCCCACGCGCGGCAAGTTCGTGGAAGTCGGGCGCTGCTGCGCAGGAGCCCTTCGCCGCAAGCCCGGCGAGGGTGAGGAGAAGGATGTCGAGCGTCCACATCCTGGATGGCATTTCGCGTTAAGGTGCGAGGGTTCTTCTACTCCGTAGATTCGTGGCGGTGTGAGATGTTTCGGATATCCACCCAAGCGGCGGGGATATAGAGGAGGTGTAGTAGTAGCGTAGGCGAACGAGTGACCAGTTTCTGCAGACGAGAAACGCCAGACAGAACAAAAGAGGGGGAGGGGTGAAAACGGTCAGTCAGTACAAGGAGAAAGGAAGAAGGTGTATTAGAGGCAACGCACCCGTTGATGACGATTACACTTTTCTACGACGGCCTCTGCCTTCTTGGACTCCCTTGGAGCATCAATATGCATGGGATTGCGATGACAAGAGAATCCTTTGGGCTGAGACGCTGGGATTACACCCGCCGAGTACAGAGGTGGCAGTTGGGGGTGGGTTTCTGGCGTTGGGTTGCACGGTAGAGCGGGCTTGGCTGTGCCAAGGGCTTCTCTTGGCGAAAGCTCGGCACCTTAATGACACCGGGTCAATCTTCTCGGGGCTGCACCATCGTTCAAGGCGTAGGCGATGCGCAGCGTCATAGAAAATTAGCGGAGGTGGGGAGACGTGTCGAAGGCACACAAATATTTGAGAAAAATAGTCAAGTGCGGTTTGTTTACCTCGGATTTTTATTACTGACCAGCTCTCCAGAGACATTCCCAAGGAATGTGTCAGCAGACTTCTTCACGTTCTTGAAATGATCTTTCTCTGCGTCGGTGAATGATTTGACTGCGGCTGGCGTCCAGTGAATTCGAGGCCTGTCAATCCAGGCGGGCTGGAAGACATTATATGAGGGACGCATATCCCTTGGTTGCCTCAGGTCCCCCACCATGTCAACTGTTTCGTTTCAGACTGTCCGACGCTCGCCTTCTGTGCTGTCAGAAACAAGGGATACGAATTTCGGTGATTGCGTATGTACCTTTCCTAATCAATTACAGCATGGCTGATTCGTTTCTTCTGTCTCGTGAAGAGCGGTGGGACGGAGTCGCCAGTTGAGCACAGTAAGACGATAAACGAACGCTTCTTGTAGTGATTATAGATCATCTCTGTTTCTCCTGGGGAACAGCAGCATTTTCTACCAAAAGTGTAGGTGAGCTTTTCATCTTCCTTGCACGTTGTAACAGATGGATATTGATTTTTATTGGATTTTCACATACTCATGTCCATTACGTATTCCTTTTGAGTTACGTTGGGAAGGCCCATGCTTTCTTCAAAATCCGCAGGCCGATCACAACGAAGGTGCGGTGCTAGTGCAGTGTAAAGCCCTAGAAGTCGCGGTGCGAGAGTGGTTCGACGGCGGACATCCCTCGTTTCGAATCAGATGCAAGACGTTTTGACAAGCTCTATGCAGAAGCGCAGCAGCGAACAAGAGCTTGTGAGTACTTCGCTTCAATCTTGGCTAAAGGCTCAGCTCAACCCGGCGCCTCGATGGAGGATTGCGTTCAGCTGGGCGCTTTTAGCGTCTGTGATGGCCGCACTCGGCAAGTCAGGTGACTTGATTTAGACGCGCGTCTCCATCACGCGCCCGATACTCTCTGCGGATCAAAGGCAGGGTGCCTCAGTTCGTCGGTTTCCCTTCGGCTTATTGAAAAACAACTTGATCGACAATGTCGGCTAATTATGGTCAGCTGAACAGTCCACTGAGGAAAAATCATCTACAAGTACAGTTCATCAGGATCTGGTATAAATGTTCGGTGCGCACGGGGAATTCTGCTTCCTACAGGTAAAAGATCAGTAAATGTCTCCAACTACTGGCCTACCAGGTCGGGTGAGGTTGCCCATCTCCTGCAGGCTGCTCAAGCTGATTCCCAAGCCTGGCACAACGCAGAGACGCATAACGGGATAAATGAAGTCGTCTTGGTCCTTGGATGCGGACCAGACCACCGCTCCTAACTTTAAAGTCTGCCTCGAAAGTCGCCCTCCGGTCTCGGCGCAACGTTTCGTCAACTCCATAGACCGCAAACGACGATGTTTACCAGCTCCAGTAGCTTCAGTCTGTCCTCGCGGTGGTGGCGAGGACAGCAGCCTTGCTTAGCGAACCTTATTGGACTTGTCGACAAACTTGAGAGCGTCTGGGGATGTGAGTCTGACGAAAGCCTAGACTGGCCGATGGGAATGTTTGGCCTCGGAGGCTGTGCTGGGTATTTCTGTCGGCAAACATTTATCCGAATTCCTCCCTCCTTTCCCCTTTCTGGCATGTCTCCGTCGAAAGCTCCCCATTCTTCGATGAAGGTTGTCGGTTTCTCGAGGGTCACCGTGCGTGATTCGAAGTATGGATCCCAAACTTCGAAATTCTGAGCATGGTTGCACATCGAAAACTCGCTCAGGACGGTCTCGCGTGATGCTTCACCCCGAAAGATGATTTGTACCACATCCGGGTATGAAAACGTGCCTAGACCACGGATGAAGACGGCCATGCAGTTCTTGTCATCACAAGAAACGCAAAGGCTGCTCTGGGACTCCCGGCTCGATCCACGCCGAGCCCTCCAGGCTTTCCGTTGCCAACGCCATGAGACGCCATGCAAGCTGACCACAAATTTTCCAATCCAATAAAAGAGCCAAGGACCATCACCGGATGCCCCCTTCAATTTTCCACTCACCTACATAATCTGCTCCACAGGACTGAACCGGACTTCGATCTCCGTTTCTCTCCTTCTACCTACTACTTAATTCCCCTTCACGCTCTTGCTCTCGGATTGCATCTTCACGACTTATGTTGTCCCGGGAGCTCATCGTTCTGAGCATTGTCTCTCTTGCTAGCGTCGTGCGCGCTTCGCCCCCTCACGACCACAGTTTTGACCCACACGCTCGTTCCTACCACCACCCCACCTTCAATCGCCGCGATTATGTTACCCCAGCCCAAGCCAATGCTGCCTACGACTACGTTATTGCAGGAGGAGGCCTCGCCGGTCTTGTTCTTGCTGCACGTCTTTCGGACGACACGAGCAGGACAGTGCTAGTGCTGGAAGCTGGCCCATCGGGAGATGACGTCGCCGCCCAAATCAGTGCGTCGAACTGCTTTTTCAAGATATTTTGCCAAATTCTGATCAATTTTGCATTGTAGACACTCCAGGAGAAACATACTATAACTCTCTCCTCGGCGCAGAGCCTTACGACTGGCTTTATCAAAGTACACCACAGGCAAACGCAGGAGGGAGGACAATGAGACAGCCTCGCGGAAAGGTGCGTATACGGCCACCCAACGTCTTCGGAACAAATCTAATTTCGACGCAGCTACTCGGAGGTTCTGCAGCTATTAACGGAATGTACATGGTTCGTCCGTCCGCGGAGGAGGTCGAGGCCTGGCACGACCTCATCGCGACCACTGATGCTAGCGCTGCTAGTGCGTGGAACTGGGATAGCTTCTTCACGGCCTTGAAGGATACCGAAACCTTCAGTCCTCCTACCACTGACGCTCAAAACACTGCCGGAATGAAGTACGTGACTGGAAGCCACGGCAGTAGCGGCAAGCTGCACATAACTTACCCTGGATAGTGCGTATCTTTGTCCTTTCGTCATAGTCACAACTTATGACTAACCTCCGTGCGCGGTCTTATTCAGCATGGTGCCCGTTACGGGATCCTGGCTGCCCACTCTCGAGGCCGCAGGTGTCAGCGCTTCACCAGACGGCTACTCCGGAGACAACGTTGGCGGATTCTTCTCGAATCTCGCCATTAACCCATCCAACTGGACACGCTCCTACTCCAAGTCAGCCTATATCGACACTCTCCCACCTCGCTCGAATTTGCACATCGTCTCCGGCGCCACCGTTGAGCGCGTTGTCTTCGCTGACAACCTCCAGGACGGCAACCTCGTCGCCAGCGCCGTTGAATTCTCGACTGGCCGGGGCTCTGAGAAACGCACCATCCAGGTCAACAGGGAAGCCGTTCTGGCCGGTGGCGCGATGGGATCGGCCCAGCTCCTCCAGCTGAGCGGTATCGGGCCCCGCGACGTCCTCGAGGCAGCTGGCGTTAGCGTAAGGCACGAGCTCCCCGGTGTTGGCCAACATTTCATTGACCATCTAGCGGCGGGCATTTCCTGGGAGTCCAACGTCGATACCCAAGGCACGATCCGCAACTCCGGCTCTGACCTGTCAAAGACACCCGAGTTCAACTCGTTCGTCAACTGCGGTATTGCTTACATCAACGGCTCCCGGTTGTTCGGTGGCGACGAGAGCTTCAGGACCTTCCAGCAGCAGGTCGCCTCGGCCGCCGGTACTTCTGCATCCACGCTCGTCCCTTCGCAGTACAGCGCCGTCGTTGAGGGATACAAGGCCATCTACGACGCGACCGTCAACAAAGTCATGCCCACGGGTGGTCTCGTTGAGGTTCTGCTCAGCATCAACTCCCCAGGACAGATCACGGTTCAGGCAGCCATCCAGCAGCCCATGAGCCACGGCCGTATCTTCATCAACTCATCATCGGTATACGACAACATCGTCATCGACCCCAACTACTTCTCGCACCCGGCCGATATTGTCGTGCTACGCCAAGGTATCAAGCTGGCGCGCTCGCTCGGCGCCATCGCTCCCCTCTCGGAGGCAGTGGGCAACGAGGTGTCACCTGGTGGCTCGGTCCAAACCGATGAGGAGATCGAGAACTGGCTCCGCACTGCCGCCAATACCGAGTTCCACCCCGGAGGCGCTTGCGCGATGCTGCCCCAGGATCAAGGTGGTGTTGTCGACGCTTCGCTCAAGGTTTACGGCACGTCCAACGTCCGCGTTGTCGACTCGTCCGTCTTCCCCGTCTCGTTCTCTGCCCATGTGCGTCCTTCCTGCTTTCGATAGATCAATCTTACTGACTTCCTGGTAGCTCATGGCCCCTACCTACGCCCTTGCGGAAAAAGCTGCTACAATTCTCTCTGGTACCTTCAACCCATCGACGCCGTCGACAACAACCGCCGGCGGGTCGTCAGGTACCAGCACTGGCAGCGGCTCACCCACCACCACGACGAGCGACGGCGTTATCTTCCGCACACCTTCATGGATGTGGCTAGCCGCCGCCGTCCCCGCCCTCTTCGCCCTCCTCTAAGCCTAAGCGTTTTGGACTGCATCCTTGGATCTTGGATCTTTTTAACTGGATTGGGATGGAGGCATTCACATTGATATCCTTCTCTTTCTTCGTTACTGCTCGCTGTGTAGACCGCATTCGCTCCTTACCCAATCCCCGGACACTTTGTTAATGACTCCCCTCTTGTTAGTCGCAAACATATACTTATCTACGTACGTGTGGCTCTTTGCGCCTGGAACGCATAATGCGCATCCCATCCTACTCTACAAACTGTCGTATAACCCGGACTTTATCGTTACCCATGTAGAGTAATTCGTACGGACTTGCTCCCCTGAACAAACAACGCTGTAGCTTTATGTCAATCCCCATTGCTCGTGTTGTTTGTATTGAGTCCCTAGCCAGACAATTGGAAAGGTTAGCGCATGACTCAGTAGTTGAGCTTTATGTATGCCCTTGCCAGTTCGAAACGGAGACGAGGCCGACAGTCCCGATTTGGGAAGGAAGCTTCCTAAAACAGCCATCAATCTGACCATCAGCGTCCACGATCGCCTGGTCAACATCAAGCCAACGTACCTCAGGTTATCAGTGCCGCAACACAAACGTACTGGTTTGTCTTCGTGATAGATTATGTTCCTCGGACTGTCCATCAGCGGCCCTACATTTGTTGCATCAGAGAAGCTGCATACTATACTGGTCAGACCTCAAGCTTTAAATTTGGCGACGGCACCGGTTGACTTTCTGGTTGTTCTTTTGCGTCCTAATCAACCCAACTGTATTGTTCAAAAAAAATGAACAAAAAATGTGTAAGATCGAACAACTAGGAAAATCGAAAACAATGGATCAACCGTCCGTGTCCATGATCCCACAATCCCGCATGAACGACATCCACGAGGCATCCATTCCACTTTCGCTCGATAAACCCATATCAATCGCACCGGCGTGGTCCATCGAAATCGTAGGGCTTACACCAAAATCGTGTGGATAGAATCCACCTGGTTGTGGAACGTTGCTGGAGCCGTTCATACCTTGATATCCCATCGAGATGTCGGGATACCCGAACCCCGAAAACGCGGCGGGGTTCGATGGGCCGGCGCCGAATAATGCAGCCATGTCTGGAGGGAGGTTTGCGAGAGGGTTGTGATTCGTCGCGTGTTGGACATCGAACATCGGAGCGTCAGAAAGCGGATGGAAGGAAGGAAATAATGTATCGTGCATGTGCATAGGCGCTGTCGTCGAATTGTTTGTTGTCGAAGGTTCAAACATTGGCAACCCTGTTGACGACCCGGGTTCTGGCATTAGCCCATCGAAGTTTATCGCACTGCTCCAATGCCTCGTTGGTCCTCCGAAGAACAAATGCTGGCCTTGCGTAGACGTCGACGGACCTGCGTGAGGAGCAGGGTGAGATATATGCCCGAACCCTCGTTCTTCGACCTCGTCCGACGTTCGCCCACCTGTGAGGTACTGCGACGTGCCATTGAGCCAATTTGACCCAGGAGTGAACGCACCTGGGTAGGCCGGTCCTTCATGAGCCTGCCCAGACACTGACACCGTGGACGGTCCAGGAGCAGGGGGTACCAAAACCGCCTCCGCAGGATGTGCCGGAGCCGGTACTGTCTCCACTCGTTCCACGACCTTCCTCACGGCATCTTGATTGAGGTACGCCACTAGAGAAGGATGAACCTCTGGCAGGCCCAACGATCCTAACCCGAGGCCGAGACCGATACCTGAGGCAGAGGTTGCACCAGTCCCGGCGTCAATGGTTGCCGGAATAGCAGCCGACGAGACCTCCGTACTCGATGATGTCGCTGTGCTTGATGACGGCGAGCTTGGAGCAGCCGTAGCTCCGCCACCTGGTGCACCCGCGGAACCCCCAGACGACATCGAGCGATGGTGATGCTTTCCAGATGCCTTCCTATCCAGTACTCGCATCTGACCTCCGAAAATAGCGAGATCATCTTCCAAATCGTCTGAGAGGCCAAATGGAGGCGAACCAGACGACGTCGAAGTGGACTCTGTGGGACTCTGTCCGGCAGTTTGCTGTTGGTACGACCGTCCGGCCTTCTCTTTGAGTTTCAGGAGTACACCCTGGTTTATTTACGTTCATCAGAGGAATCTCGAGAAGGCGACAAGCCACTAACCAATGCAATTTTCGCGCGCTGCGACTGCGCTGCGTTCCGTTCGAAGAGGGTTACGGCAAGGTTGAAGTCCCTCATGGCCATCGAAGCAATATTCGAAGTCGGCGAGCGAGTCATGACTGTACCCAAGATTACCTGCGTATCCATTGCGGGGATACTTATTAGCCACTATTAATTAGCAGGAAATTGAACGAAACTTACAGCAGCAGAGAACGTATGATTCATCAAGAACCATAACCTCATCGCCACTGCCGCACACCGCTCAAACAAATGGGCTGACGCTTTGATGATAATGGAGGCACTCCGATAGGCGGTCAAGAACGATGGGGCGAATGGGCTGAGGAGCGGGTTTGATGGATGGTCGAGCATCGCTTGCGCAAAGAAACTTCGGTGTAAGTAGAGCATGGCTTTTGTCACACCGTCAGCACAAGAAAAGTCGCGGAGAAGGAACAATACACTCAACTGACTGTCCGATTCTGACTGGCGTAGAAATCCCTCAGCGCCAGCGAACTGGAGTGGAAGATGTCTGCACCCGCTTCCCTTGTGACATAGGGGTTGAACGAGGCGGGAAAAGATATTTCCCGAACCTTCCTGTCAAGGTCAAGGATGGTATCGTAGCTGGGTGTCCGGGCAATGAGGGTGGCGTCTGCGACCGAATTGTAGATGTCGCGGGCGAACCGATGCTTCGTCCTCCAGACTATCGCTTCCTTTAGCTACATTCAGAGAAGCGACAGAAATGAACTATCTTACAGCCAGCCTGCGTCTCGGTTGCGTCTGAACTAAGAGAGGCGTCTTCGTCTATTGGAAACTCGCAGTCGACGTAGGAAGGATGATTGGAAGGTGGCCTTCCCAGTGCTAAACTCTTTAGTTTGAAGAAATAAGCGGCCACAGACGAATTGAGCGAGTGGAACACTTACGTGCGACAGGTCCGACGAGAATATTTCCCAGAAAAGATTCCTGCGCTTCTGGACAGTCTTGTTGTCCATATTCCATCGCGCACTATCCCGGTCTATAATTGAATCGTTGGTGTCGGGCCGACATTTCGGGTAGATATCCAGAACGTACGCAATCCTATCTGATGTCGAATTCAGCAAGATTGGCCCGGAGCGTCTTTGAATAACTTACAGTCTGTGCGAGCTTCGCAGCGAAACTCATGATGCACCACTGAAGGCTTGTAAGCCAAGGGTTGAGGGTGTCGGCGACTAAACACTCACCGCACTGTCTCTCGTATATCGTTTACCCGCAAGACTGTTGTAAGTAGCCATGAGACCCAACGCCGAAACAGAATCGATATTCGGCGAGTCGTAAACGGGACGTAGCGACAGAGCTGCGCGCCCCAGGTCATAATACCGTTCGGCTTCCGAATTGAATGGCGGTTGTGACATATCGAGAAGAGCGCCTAGAGCGAAAATAAAGCAGAGAATGGCCAGCGAGTGAGGAGAGGTATTGTCGACAGAGGAACTTTCGTCGCTATCGGGATCGCTGGAGCGTGCTTGATTGTGAGCAGCAATGCGATCATAGATTGTCGGAAAGAGGTCACCCCGTAGGTCGTCTGGTCCAATGGGACGAAAGAAGTAAGAGGCGTGGTCGATGTAAGACTGGCATAAGTGGACTGCTCGTTCGCGAGGGGGTAGCAACAACTCGATCGCCCGCAATCCGTCGGCATTGGACCGTGCTTTGGAGGAGAATGGGAAGGCGTCGGCTAGCTTTTCGACTGTGTCCACGGTCTCTGTGGGTGCCGGCTGCGGCTCGTTATCTTCATCGGAGGAGCTGTCAGCGTTCTCCTCGTCAGCTTTCTGAGAGAGGAAACAATATGTGGCATGAGGATGGGATGACTCTTATTTGACGGATGTTTACGGACCATCATGAGAGTCTGAGGTAAAGCGTTACGTCGTGAGAAGGGTGCGACAAGAAAGCAACTCACCTCCGAGCCCGCTGACCTGCCAAAGTACTGGACATCCCCCGAACTCCCAAGCGTTAACGTGCCCAAAGCATCGATGGATTTGGTGGTTACGGCGTCTTCGTCCTTGGAAAGAGGTGTCTCGCCGCGGGCATTGAGGGCTTCTGATCCGAATTTAATCTTCAGCAAGTCGTCAGTCAGTAGTGGGTGCCGCTGGTCTGATACGCTGGCCTGAAGGATGGCCAGCGCGTCCTCCAATTGCCGTATCCGATTGCTCATCTCATAGATCTTCTCATGTAGTTGCTCTGTGTCTGCAAGAATAAACCTGGGGCCAGGTAAAATGACGCGCAATAAAAGCCAGAAAGGGGACGAACCGAGTGCCCTGTCCCGCTGCCAAAATGCCTGTCGACGACAATGCGGGGTTGAGCCTCGAACACTACGTCATTGCGGGGAAGACATACCAAGAGGACATATACTTTCACAACCTCTTCGATAGCACGACCCGCACGGGAGCTTCTTGTCGCATCTGAGTTTCAAGCGTCGACATTCAGCGCACGAAAGTTCTCCTATTGTCCGAAGGCGTCGGTCAGGGCACGAGGGAGACGGCAAGGGCACGGGTGTATCAAACAAGACCATACCTTTCAGCCGTTTGCGATCGATATCCTGCAGCTCCTCCTCAGTCAACTTCTTCTGCGTCCTCCGCGATGACACGACTCGAGTGTTGTCCACTGGCATCGAAGAAAGAGGCGTCAGGAGACGAAGGGACGAAACGGCGATCACTTCCCCACATACCTCAATGCCCAATTTATCCCCGCGATAACATGACCAATGGCAACCAACCTCGGGTCTTCCCACACGGCTTCTACATTTGATAATTGGCGAATGAAAAGCTCACGCTGACCACATGATCTCCAAGCTCAAGGGCCAAACGTATCAGAAGTGTCCCAAGTGTAATAGACAGGCACACTGCAGCTACCCACATCGGGATAGCGCAGTCGTGAAAGTATTTACCCTGCATGCTTTCCTCATAAGGCCGAAGAGCGCAGGCCATATTAGGACCTCAGTAGTTTTGCGTTCGTATAGCGGCGACAGGTTCTGAATAAAAGGCTTCACGAGCAGCAATTTCAAGTTGACTACAGGTACAATGATAGAGCTTACAACAGGACAGACGGGTTTCTAGCTCAACAGGCATGAAGCGAAATCACAGCGAGAGAAAGTTGAACAATGGTCAGGCGTCACCGTAGGTTTTCTTTTCCTTGCGCTTCTTCTGTTTCGGCTTCGCAGCCGCACTCTCGCCCTTGAGGAAGAGAAACGAAGAGACATTTTGTTAACGTCTAGATATGTAACTTGGCATCACCTACCTTCTTCTGAACCGACAGCGACGATTTAGCAGGGACAGCGACCTTCTCAGCAACGCTCGAAAATTTCTAACAATGCGTCTCAGTATCATAAGGAAGATAAGTTCGCAGAAACTTGCGGTTCGCCTCCTCGAGCGCGTCAACTCTTCGGCAGCCGGTGGTGAGGAGGAACGAGCGCGTTTTGTGGGAAGAGGCTCTGGTTCATCGGTTGGGAGTCGGCTTAGCTCGGAGAGAGGGACCTCGACCTCAGAGTCGTCGTCAGCGTCCATGTCATGAAAGCGAGAGGAATTGGGATCTGGATGAGCACAAATGAGTTCGGAAGTCGCACTCGAACAAGTAGAGATCAACCTCACCTTGACGGTGGGTGGCCGGGACGCCACCTGGTACGTTTGCCATCTCTTGATCCTCATTCAACGCGCACGGAGCTTCCTCTGCCGTCTGAAGCACAACGTGAGCGGTTCCTACAGGTTCCGATTCGCCGTCTTACCGCATTCTCGGGGCTGGACGACATGAACACTTTGAAGTCGACCATCGCCTTATTCGAAGCCCCGGGTGCGGCTCCCTTCTCCTTGAGAAGCCGTGCGAGGGTTCCTTGAAGCTCAGCCACCTTGGTCTTCAGGGCTTCTATCATGTTCTGACGCTGTACGGTGGTGATAAGCAAACCGGCCAGAAGGCGAGGTCTAAAATCAGCTTCATGGTGCTTACACCACGTAGCTCGTTGTCCTTCAGAACCATCTCTTCTTCGTGCATGCTCTGTGCCTCACTCATAAGATGGCGAACGAAGTCTCGCTCGGTATCCGTCTGAACGAAAGGAGCATCAGCCCAGTCGCGCCATTTTCGCTCTAGGCCAGCCAACTACGCACCAAATCCGCATCGTTGTATCGTGACTTGATGTTCTCCGCTCGGTCGACGAGCTCCGAGTTCAGCCGTTCCAGCTTTGCGAGCTGCTCTCTGAGCTTGGTCGCTTCCTGTTCCAACTCTGCCGTTGTCGTCTTCGCGCCAAGAAGGGCAGCCTCTTTCACAGCCGCCAATTCTGCAGTCAGGTCCGCTACTTTACCCTTGTGATCCTTTAGCGTTTGCTGAAGGAAAGCTTGAGCAGAGGCGGCGTTGCTTTCGGCCAGCGCGGCTTGCTTCCCCAAAGCCTCGTTCAGAGACGTTTTGTCGTCCAATTGCTCAATGTATCGATCCTAAAAATGGAGATTGATTCCCTTTTTGCAGGAGACCAGCGGAAGAACTCACCAAACGCTCCTAAAAACAATTCCCGTTGGAGTTCCTTAAAATTTGCGGGTACGCACCTTCAATTTCGCGCCCTGTTCCTTCGCTTGGTACAAATTGACGCTCTGGACCTCGAGGCGCTCCTGTGAAAGGAATCAAACATATCAATGAACCACACGCGACGAGCTCCTCGATCCGCACCCTCAACTCGGCTATCTCGGCTACAAGGCTACAATTTCCATATAAGTATGAGAGGACGCCACGCAAATCAGCCCCTAAGCACCTTTCGGAATATTTCTTCGCGACGAGCATGTCGTCCTGGAGAACCTGGGCCTTCCCCTCGGCGACCGAAGCGTAGGATTGGGCAATTCGCAGTTCGTCTTGAGACTTCTCAAATGATGTTTGAACCATGCCAATCTTTGAACGCCTACAAAGAATCAGCGTTTCATGTGTTGACTTCTGGAAGAACTCGTAAGCGTACAATTCGACAACCAGCTTCTCGAGTTCATGCAGCGTTTTGTTGAAATCCTGTTCAGAGTTCTGGGATGCCTTATTCGCTGCTTTAAGGGCAATCTGCGTCCTGACGAAGGATTAGTTCTTGTGTAGGGTGAAAAAGGCTAAAAGCGACGTACTCTTGAACTGTGGTCTTCAATGCGAAATTTTCACTTCGCAAGTTGCTGATTTCGATCTGATACTCTTCATTCCTGCACATTTTTGTCAAAAGATCAAAGGGTGCTTCAAAAGAGGATCGACGTACGGATCCTTCGCCCTGAGCTCAACCTCTTTTTCAGCAAGACTCTTCTTTGCTTCAGCCATCCTGGGGATGCTTCAGTCATAGATAGCTCGGCAACACCTCAACGTACAAGGCGCGCAGCTCTTCCCTCGATTCTGCCAGGGACTTGACTTCTGATCTCAACATGACGATCTCCTTGTCGCGCGAGTTGACTACGTCTTGAACCTCCAGAAGCTTAGAAACATTTCTGGGAAATAATCAGAGGCCATGATTGGCTTAAGCGAATAAAATAGACGGACTGCTCTTTGAGAGAGCGCAGCACGCTCAGCTCCTCGCCCTGGGTGCTGACGATGCTCTGATGAAAGCTGAGCCTATCAAATTTGTTGAAGTTCGGCGCTAGAGACAGGACGGTGGGAATTGCATACTCATTCTTTACAGCTTCAAGCTCATTTCTGACAGAGTCCGAGTGCGCAAGAGTGTCGATCGTCTCCTTCTCGCGCGTGGCCAACCGCAGCGACAGTTCGCTCATACGTTTCTCTAGAGGAGAGTCATCAGGGAGTCATCATCAGGAAAGGGGGTTCTGTCTTACCAACTTCCGCAAACAACTCGAATTGACGCTTCTCATCTTCACGGGCGGATACGAGATCGCGTAGCCAACCCCGTTTTTCTTCTTCCAGTTCGCGAACCCGATTTTGGGCATCGGCAAGCTGAGATGCGTTATGAAGGAGCTTGTTGCGAAGCATATCCGTAACTTGATGCGCTAGAGGGCAACAAGTTGTCAGAAATGTCTGAACGAATGTTAGACCGTCACTTACACCCCGCCAGATCCTCCTGTAATTGCTTCAAAAGTGCTTTGGTATCAGCAGCGCGCGTCAAGGTATCGTTATCGTCCAGCATGGGTTCAAGGGCTGGAGCACAGGACGTGAGCATATTGGACATCGTAGAAAGTTCCTTTGCTACCTGACATCGCGTTGTTGGCAGTCTTCCTCAGAGCTTGCACTTCGCTGGATATTTCCTTAAGCCGTTGTCGGTCAACATCACGAGCTTCCCTGAGCTCTTTCAAACACGTCCCGAGACTCGAGTATCTGCAAGAACAATAAGATCGAGGAATAAAACAATCAACGACAGTCTCACTCTGAAGATAAGAATGCGACGCTTCGTTTGGATTTCTCCAGAACCTGTTTGACGTTCTCGGCCTCGGTCTTCGCACCCCATACGTCTTCCTTCAGGCGACCATTCTCTGCGACTGACGAAGCTAATTCCTCTTTAACCTGCGACAAAGCGGACTGAAGTGATCGGAGCTCGCAATCCTTGACAGTAATGCCCTCTTTGGAGGCGTCTGACACAGATCGTAGGATATTGATCTCGCTTTTAGCTGCCTGTAGGTCTTGCGTCGTCGACGCCAACCTTGCGCGAAGATCCGCTAGGTCGCGAGAGGATTGGTTCTGCAACAAATTGAGTCGCTCGACGTCATCTTTGCCTTCATTGACCAGAGATTCCAATCCTCTGACATACGAAAGCTGCGTTGCGAATTAGTCTTCGTCAGTAACAGCAACGAAAACCAGGCGAGAACGCACCCCGTTGTCCCATTTGGTAGATGTCCGAGAGCTGTTAGCAGTGCTGAGGAGGAAATCGCCTGATGTTGAAGCCGATCTCATTGGTGTTGGTTCAAAAGCATTCTGTCCTAAAGGTGACGCAGAAACTGTCTGGTTAGGCCGCATATATGCGCGATCTGGTGAAGCAGACGACGAGAACGAGGGTGAAGAGCCACCTAAAGGCGAAGAACAATCAGTATCTTTGTTCTTTCAGTGCTTAAGGATCACATTCGATGATAAGAATCATCTTCATAGTACGCCGACGTCGTTTTCTCAGTTCGCTGTTGAACCGGAGTCGAAGTCCGTGCGGCGTTGCCAAAAATCGAAATGAGGGGCTGCCTCTTCTGAGCAGGAAGCCCAGATCTCTCGTGAGCAGGCGCCATCACCAAGGGCCGGTTGAAGGAACCCGAATTTTCTCGCTCGTCCCTTCTTGTTTCAAGGAGAGCGCGGCTCATTGAGAAGAGCTTCGGTTTCGTTGGACCATTGTCGTTGTTGAGCGAAGAGCTTGCACTGGTGGCCATTATTCAAGAAGATGTTCCAAGAAAAATCAAGAAAATCGTTCGCGTAGTGGTGGCTCGAGAAAGAAACGCGTCCCTACAGAATGCCTCCGAAAACTGCCGAAACGCGATCACGTGCTGTGACGCGTCAGATCACGCAGAATTCAATAGATAGTAATGATGATAATGCTCGCATTCAACATTTGCCTTCAACTTGTTACTTCAACCTGTATAGCAGCCAAACTTGCTCATTCAGACTCTCAGTCTTCTCGGGTGGAGCGCCAGAAGTGTCCTCTACGCATTGCGCAATGGCCTGGACTACCGGTGACCCGATTGCCATTGCTCGTTCTCAGCGAGGGATTCAGTGTCTTCGAGAAATTTCCGACCTGGAAGGCGCCTTATCTGACGGAAATATTAAACAAGTCCAATGCGTCTTTGTGAGTTGCTAATTCCATTTCTGCAATTGGCCTCTCCGACTCAGACATTCTGTAGATCGGTGGAAGGAAGATCTGGAGGGAGGCTGACACTATTCACCGCCACCATCACGCGGAAAACATATATTCTCCTCGTTCTCCTACCTTCCCTACTTTTATTCTGTCTTTTCCGCTCCTATCAATCTCCTATCTCCTATATTTGCTCCACCTATAACCATTGCTATCCATTCCGTCACAATGAGGCGACTGCTGTATCTGGCTACGGCGGCCATCACCACAACAGCCCAAAAAACATCTGTCGTCACCTCGCCCGGTCAGCCAACACGAAAAGGCAACCCTGGAGCGTTCGAACTCGTCGGAAACACCATCGTTAGCGCTCAACAGGTGACCCTTTTTTCACCCTCGACCGAGTGCTCGGTGCAAACGCTACACCCTCCCGTCTAGATTTTCCTTGGTCATCCAGACAAAGTCTACATCCTCGACAAGGTGGAGAACAATCCTACCCAGATAAATGGACATCCGGCGTGGGCGGCGGGTAGGGGACTAGTTCGCTCGTCTCTCAGAAGTCGTCTCAGATTTCGAAAGAATACAGGCTCTCTGACAACAGCCAGCGAGCCATGGACGTCGTCACGAATTCCTTCTGCGCGGTAAGCACCCATCTTATCTCTCTATATAGTTGACGTCGACGTTGACGATCCTCTAGGGTGGTAGCTCGTTAGGAAATGGGACGTGGATTAACGTCGGCGGGAATCAAGCAGTTGCGTACGGTGGAACCCCCGCGTCGGTGCAAGATGGGAGTGCAGGGCCATACAGAGATGCTGACGGGCGGAAATCGCGAGTCATTTCTTCTTTCTACGCATGGCCATCAGACTAATTTCCCCCTGCTGTTTCCCCCTAGAATACGGTAAACTTAATGCTCACACCGCTTTATCGTCTAACTGCATGCATATTCTAGTATGATTACTCCTTGTGACGACGATAGCTGCCAATGGTCTCTGTCGCCCTTCGAATCCGACCAACGTTGGTATCCTACGCTGTAAGCAGAACCTTAATTGCCGCTTCCTCTCATCCCTAATGCCCCCGCTCTTGATGCTAGAGAGACACTCGACGACGGGAGCATCATAATCGTATGATGTTAAATTTTCGTCTTGTCTCCCACTGACAGTTTTCCAGCTCGGAGGCTGTCGGAATGGCGGCTACGTCAACGACGCGGGGCAGGCAGTTCCGACCTATGAGTTCTTTCCACCAACTGGACCTCCAGTCGTTTCTGCCATCCTCCAGAACTCTCTCCCAGCCAACCTCTACCCACTCGCATTTCTTCTCCCGTCAGGAAAGGTCCTGCTCCAAGCCAACTGGCTGACCTCGCTTCTCGACTATAAGAACAAGATAGAGACGCCTCTTGATGACATGCCAGACGCCGTCAGGACCTACCCCGCGAGCGCCGGGATGGTGATGTTGCCTCTTACTCCTGCGAGTAACTGGACGGCGACTATCATGTTCTGTGGTGGGGCGAATGTCCCGGTCGATCAGTATGATTTTATTCTTTTAAATCCTTAACCGTATCTAATCTCTTTGTTAGGTGGACCGCGCCGGACTTCGTCGTGACTCGGCATGAAGCGTCGGCGTCTTGCGTGAAGCTCACTCCAGACGTTTCGAAATCCTACGTCCAAGATGACCCCCTGCCCGAGAGACGCACCATGACGAACCTGATCCTACTTCCAGACGGGAAGGTTCTGTGCCTGAACGGAGCAAGAATGGGTAAATTCTCGTCTCCTTCCTCGTTCGTGGATACTTTGTTAATGTCACCTAGGCACCGCCGGATACGGTAACAACTCTTGGTCTATTGGTCAATCTTACGGCGAAGATCCCCACATGACTCCCATTCTCTATGATCCTACCGCTCCAGCTGGGCACCGCTGGTCCAGTCCGGGTTTCTCGCCCAGTTCCGTGCCACGAATGTATCACTCTTCAGCCCTTCTTCTGCCTGACGGTCTGCATCTTCTCCGTTCTCAACTGAAACGCAAGTCTGACGCATCTCTCGTCAGGCTCCGTCTTCGTGTCAGGTTCAAATCCAAACGCGGATTACACCGTCGGTCCTGACGTCAAGTACCCCACCGAGTATCGTACGGAGCGCTTCTACCCATCATACTACAACCAACGGCGCCCACAACCGAAGGGCCTGATTTCTCAGCTGTCGTACGGTGGTCAACCGTTCGACGTCGCCCTCGACTCGGGCGACCTCTTCGGTGATGTTCGAAATATCCAAAATACCACTGTCGTCGTTCTTCGGACCGGCTTCTCGACTCATAACATGGTGCGGAGTCCGATCTCTTATTTTCGACCTCGAGGCTCATAAGAGGCTTTAGAACATGGGTCAGCGCATGGTGCTCCTCGAGGCTTCTTACACCGGATACCAGAACAACACCGCGATCCTCCACGTTTCCCAGCTGCCTCCCAATCCCTCTATCCTTGCTCCTGGCCCCGCAATGCTTTTCGTCGTCGTCAAAGGTGTGCCGTCTGTCGGCGTTCCGGTCATGGTTGGCTCAGGCAGCATCGGCCCCCAACCAATCCAACCTATCGGCTCCACACCGCCGTCGACAATCATTCAAAATGAATCTACGACTTCTGTCAACGGTGGTTCTGGGGCAACCCCAAAAACCAACGCGAGCAGCGCGGGGGCAGGCTACAGACACGGTTTGTACGCGTTGGAAGAATGGCTTCCTGGGTGGATTTCATTGCTCGCACTCTTGGTTGTGATGGCTTGAGGAACCAGTTTTCTCTTCACATTCCAGAAACTATACCACTGTCTTTACGAGGAATATTCTATCCTTGAATAATACCAGACTATGAACACGATTCTGGGAAAGGAGGTCTCTATTTTCGCGGCAACGCGGCCCGCTTTATCCGCGCACAGCATTCCGATGTCAATCAGGTTCCAGCGTAACTGAGAGGAGGCTCCCATGGGTCAGTCTCTTCTACTCTCTCCAGCTTGATATCTCGCACGTACTTGCAACATGGAGGTCATCTCCATTGCATTGACGGTCTGCACTTTATGCAAGGCAATCGAATCCTGGGTCGAACAGCGAGCCGAAAAGGAGGCAACAATCATCCAAATTTCCGCGACGGTCGTTCAAATTCGAAATATTCTCTCGCCTTTTGCCTCTGCCGAGTTTAAGGGCACCGGAGAGTCGCAGCTCTGCGACTGTATCCGAAGCCTAGGTGACGTCTTGCAACGGACGAAGGAGCACCTCCTTGTTTGGGGCTACAAGCGCTCTCGCAAGATAGTCGCGTTCCTGAACCCGGCGGCACTGGTTAAACAGCTTCGGGACGACGAACGGCAACTCAACAATCAGCTCATTATACTCCTCACGTCTGTAGCGGTTGTTGGCTACTTCCGTGATCATGCTAGGGACGCGGTGCAACCTCAGATCAACCCTCCACCTTACGTCGAGGTGGAACCTTTGGATGAATTGAAGGACCAACAAGCATTGGAATTCTGGAGAGACTATATTGGTGCCAAGGTGCGCTTAATTTTCTGTTTACCGCCCACAGCGCCCGTTCATCTGAATCTCAGATCACATTCATTGCACCGGAGGTCTTTTGCTCTCGATTATCTATTTGGTATCGTGGAGAGTTGTCAAAGGATACGTGCGCTCGCATGATCATGTTATTGGATGAATATAATGTTGGTGGAATCACTCCCAACAATCTTGCTCGAGTACTAGGCGACGAGTCGTTGAAGGGTTTCCTAGAACGGTGTTCTACAGGTAGGCGCCTAATCCCCATTCTCTTTGACTTCGACTAAATCAGTCCTCAGGAGAAAAACCTCTTCCATTTGACCACTCCTGGATTCGAGCCGCGCCTGGCGAAGTTCTTAGTACCCCACTCTTAGTATGGATTGACGACAACCCGCAAAATAACGCTTACGAAATTGCCGATGCCCGTTCCAAAGGCATTCAAGTTATCGAATTATCCTCTACTTCTGTAGCAAAAGCTTGGGTGGAAGCTAACTATGGTCGGCATCTCCCATATCACCGCTTCAAATCGTCACTTAAACCCTGGTGTAGCGTTCCTTCGAGACAACGACAACCCCTCGCGCATCCGCTTTATCTCTGATAACATGCGACTTGAGAAGAACGCCAATGCGGGGACTTATCTCAATCCCTCGGCTGGAGAATCGTTCCTTCGATATCTCCGAGGAAGATTTTTCAACGCGCCCGTTCTTATTTATACCGGTCGCAGTATCGATTCGACTGGGTATGTTGACAGGTACACGGCTGCTGGATCGACGACGTCTGCTCGTATTTGTCTCAGCTATATTGCGAATCTGGCAACCAAGAAGGATAACGACAATGAGTGGAGGGGTTTCAAGAATTATTAAGTTGGTTATACGGCAGGCGTTCTGATGATATTGCTTGTCGTCCCTCACTTCTCGCTTGAATGTACATTGGACCTTGATACGAATAATTGGTCGGCGTACTACTCAGATAGCATCAATCTGTGAGGGTCTAGAACTCCGGGGTTCCTCCACCAGTGCCTCGTGGCCGGTCGCTTCTTGAGTGGATTTACCGTTTGGACAGCTCGAGGTCAGTGCGCACAGGCTCTCACGCATCTTGCTTCCTGCTCCTACCTCCCCTTTCCCGCAGCGAGGCATGGCGCCCCCTGGGGACGCTGTAGCTCGGCAAAAAAGACCTCTATCATCATTTTATTCCGCGATTTATACTGCGCCAGTTTCAAAGCAATCCTATCGCCCCTCCGACGTTGTAGGTTTTTTCTAATTAATTCTTGATACGAATTAGAGATTGAATTGTGAGTTATGTCGTCCAGAAGTCGCCGCAACAGAGTCACATGGCACCTGTGGAAAGGTCGTCAAAAGCCCGGATCTGAATACATCTTTTACTACAACATAAGCACTGGCCAGCTCGACCCCCAGTGCCTCGACAGAGTTTATGGGCAACTCAACCTCTATAGGGACCTCAAGGATCCTGTGAACGCCCACTACTTGGAAGCACGACTCGGGGATCTCGAGAATGCTGCAAGTCATGTCATGCGGACGATTCACGGTGGTCTTCCACCCGGCTCGTTCACGGTTTCGAGGCAAGCATTAGCAACGCTGAGGAAGTTCATTTTCGTCATGCACTACCGCAATGACGCAGTTTCTTCAGCTTATTTTGATGAGAAGAGCCCAAAGGATGCACCACTGGGAGACTGGATGAAGAAATTCAAGGAGTCACGTCAATTGGGAGCAGAGACGGACATCTGGTTAACCGGCCTGAGGTACTACCTTGAAACTCCCCACCACACGATCGTGAGCATTGGAGAAGGCTTACGCGAGAGGTATGGCGACCAGCCTATCTCTGAAATGTTGCAAAGGAGGTTTGACCCAGCCATCGAGGAATGGTACGCGATAGACTACGAGAGTCTCGCGAACTACTTCTTCCTCGGTGTCTGGGAAGCCGCGGACGACACCGAGTTCGTTTTGGGGACAAACAGCTTCGGGCTGTGGGAGGGTCTTATCTATGGCAGCCCGGGGGCTCACAGGTTATACGTTGTGAGCCCCCGTGTTGCCCTAGTTCTGCGGCGCACATTCCTCCATCACCCCCACTCTAACGACCCCTCCATCCTCTATAGTTGCCTCGCCGACATCCCAATCGCGCAACCCACCATCGAATATGCTGATGAGTTCATCTTTCAGCGTATGCAAGACGAAGATCCGTGGATCAGGAAAAGCGCGTTCGATGCCTACCGCACCACGGCCAAAGCCCAAGACGACCGCTTCACCTTTCGCATCACAAAGCTATCCAGGGAGCAGACACACGCCGTAAACGAGGTTGTTATCATGAATGCTAACCTCCATCCCAATGGCTCGTTAACTTACGCGTCCTCGAAAGCGATGCTCGCCACCCTCGAGACGTACATGTCGTCACACAATACATTCATGGGAGGGAAGCGAGCGCTGTTCCATCCCCTTCTCCAGAAGCTCCAGGCGTTGAAAGCCGATAATTTTCGGCTGGATGCGCTTCCAAATGTCAGCAAACCCAAGAAGGTGAAGGGGCAGGTGAAGGCAAAGACGACGACCCCGACAACTCTCACCAACATTTTATCTTCACCCCCTCCGTCGCCAGTGGACTCTAATTCCGATGCCGACCACCAACTAACCATCTTCCTCCGATTCACGATCGCAGGAGGCATTACCTTCCCGTCCAGCTATAACCGTGCCTACCTCCTCCTTTGTATGGCCACCGATCGCTCTATATCCAATCCGATTTCGAAACGAATACAAGACATGAAGGAGGCAGCAGTCTCGCGTCTTCGTTTACTTCTTGACCCTCCACTCCCGGCCATCGACATCCCATCGGACTCTCAAGCCAGAATCTCCGAGACGCTACCGAAGGAGGAGTCCGAGCTCTTCTTCTCGCTCGTCGGTCATATGATCGACCAGCTCGAGGTCGGACGTTATTCGAATGACTTGCTTGCCAACCTAATTTACGAGGCGTCGATGGTTGGTGTCACCCGTTGGCTCGCAAAGGAGAGAAAGGACGTCATTTCTGACCTCCTCTATCCATGGGTAAGCCTTCTTGATTAATTTTATTTGTATTTCGAGTTTTTTTTGCTTTCCAACATCTGGAACGTTGTTTAGATAGTGTTGTACTACCTGTTGTCGAAATTGCACCTGTATCTTGTATCCGCATATTGTGTCTTTGTTAATAATAAAAGCTAAACCACCAAGGAAAACCAATTCAAGCCATTTCGACTTTGTTCCTCGACGATATATGTCGCATTATTGACGACTGATGTGTCTGTGGCGCGGTTGCCAATTTAGGAAATATGCGCGCATCAGCGGTAATCGCGGGCCGGGATGATGTGTCATTTCATCCATGTGCTGCCAACGTTTGTCTGTCACCGTCATGTTCCGCGGCTCGAAGTCGAACTATCAAGGTTTGGAATCACTCTCACATGTGCTGGAGAAGCTATCTAATGGAACTTGTAGGAACTTCACGCCTTCGAAGTTCACACACAGCAATCCGGAAGATCTTCATGATCGATAGAGGGCATTAGACATTCGCGGACGTTGCGTGGACGAGCTTGCCTCCTGCTCCCAGGCCTCCCTCCTGCATTCAACGGTGTGCCCAGAGGTATCCAGTGAGTTGCCCGTCCTCGAGGGCTTGAAACACGCTGACGAATTCACAAGCCGACCGGACTTGTTTTCCTTCTTCAGCTATGGCTGAGTACGGCTATGCGCGAGAACCGTACGACCCCTACATGGCGTCGCAGAACCACGGCGCCCAATGGCCTGACATGAACCAGTACGGAAACATGGCTCCACATTTCGACGACGGTGGAGGGTACGAGTATAGCCAGTACGGTGGCTCGGGAAGCGGGCATAGTGCGTATGGGAGAGGCCGCAGAGATAGCAGAGGAGATCCTTTCTTTCCCGGAGGGCACCCACCAACTCCATTCCCTCATGCGACCGGGGGACAGCCACTCGACTTCTACGACATGACCCCCGCTGGCATGGAGGATTTCCCGGTGAATGCTGATCCATACACTGGGTACGACCAACAGATGTACACTGGGCGCCCACCGTCGCGCCATTCCGTGTATCCAATGGACTACGAGCAGCCGCCACTTCACGAACATTATCCTATGGACATCGCCGACGACACTATCCCCCCATTTGTTGATCCTATCGATCCTCGCTCTCCTTATCCCGGGACTATGCATCAAACGCCGGGATTTGCCAATGGAATCCATGGTGGACAGTTTCCCAATTACGTGCCCACGCATCGGTCGGGCATGGTTTCTCCCGCCGTACCCAATATCCCGGCACACAGAAACTATTATTCCTCGCGCCGTCGATCTCGCTCCCGCTCTAGGTCCCCTACTGACACCGACTATACTCGTTCCTCCGATTCGTACGATACGCGCGATCCGTATTCCCACCAGTATTATCCCGCACAAGCTGCAGCTATACCGGGTTACATATCGCAGACCGTGACGTACAGGACCGTACATCCAAGTCTCCACTCACCGACTGTCATCCAACCGTCTCGAACTCGGCCAATCGTCGTCCCCATCAACGGCGGCACAGGTGGATATGTCGTTATTCCTGCTGTTGGACAAACTCTCCGGGTGGTCGTAAGTCGCTCATTTTCTCCCGCGTCGTGCCATTGATCGATTTTTCTGCAGGACCCGACAGGCTATAACATGCAGCCAGGCGACCGCTCCCTCCTTAATCGCTTCTTCTCCCCGTCCAAGTGGGGAGTCCAGACACGACGAGGGTCCAAGTGGTTTTAAATCCGGAGTGTTACGCTATATGTACTATCCCATGGTCTTCTTACGAACGTTGTAGGTACTGAAGTACTGAAGTTGCGTGCTAGAGAGAACCGTCCTTATGCTCTCCTCCTGTTGCTTGGACCTGAATATTTATGTGTCCTTGGTATTCTATTACGACGATCACCGTTTACTGAAGCGCCTGTTCTATGCCACCCGGAAACTCTGTCAGTGCCGTAAGTTCTTGCACCTTTACGTTGCATCATTGACGGCTTAACGCGACCTCGCGAGCGATGACATGAAAGCAACCCGCCACACAAATTCCGTTCTCGGGATCAAGGCGGGAATCCCATACTGACTGATTCTGTCAATCGGAATGCTGATCCGCCCAGGTTACGCGAAAAGAAGCAGGAAGAATGGCGTTGACGTTCCAGACAGTGAACGTAAAGGGCTATTTTTAGACCACAAAACGATACGCTACGATTCGAAGGTGAAGTAGAACAAGACACACACCGGCAAGAAGAATGAAGAATAGTAACGAACGAATGATTAAGATCCACCACCGCCTGCGGTAGAATGAGGGCCACCCTGCCAGTAAGACGGTGGGGGATGGTCATAGGTGCCCACCGTAGATGAAACGACACGAGCCTCGCTCGACGGTGAGGTAGAGCTTCTGTCGGTCTGGATGAAGGATGCAACGAGGGGATGTGAAGATGACGTGGTATCGAGTGTTGTTGAAGATGTCATCGCTGCCGGGTTGGTCGGCCGTGATGAGGAGCCTTGAAGATTTTGGTAACCAGCTTTCTCTGAAATGTGATTCGAGGAGGATTGGTGCTGCACTTGGGGTGAAAGCGGTGTGCTAGATGACGGAGAGCTGATAGCATCGATAGGGAATGGTGTTGGTGTGGTGAGGTGAGGAATGTGCGGAGAGGATGCTGTTTATATGATAACTTCATTTACAGTCCTTCGATAGAGAAGAATCGGAAACTTGACTTACGTTGCCCCGATTTCTCTTGTTCAGACGTCCTCGCTGCTTGCCTTCTCCTCCACAAGAGGTATCCAAGAATTAAAAATGACGACAGCCAGGACACCGATAACCGCGCCCGTTATCGCGCCCACTGGCGTCTTCGAGCCTCCAGAGGTAGAATTGTCGCTCGCATTCCCCACAGGCGACGTTGTGGGCGTGGATGTTGGCGTGGACGAGGTACTTGCGCCGGTCGTCGTAAAGACAGGGACGTTATCAGATGTTTCGAACTCGAATCTGTCCAGGAGAAATTCCGTATTGCCATTGGCGTCTGACCCTCGATTCGTGACCACAACAGTATGATAGGTGTCGCGGAGAAGGGCCGATTCGTAGTACAATTCGTTGAAGACAGCCGAGCCATTGGACGTCCGGCTGGTGGTATTAGGTGCGCTGCCGTCAAGCGTAATATCGATGATATTCGTTCCAACGCCCGCAGGTATTGTCCCCCATATCCAAAGCTGATAACCTAAATGCGACTGAGTGATCTCATCGAAGAAATGAACGAAGGGTGCTCACCCCGAAACCTAAACGTTGCGGATGCCCCTGCCTGCCTTGTCATATGAACGCCACCCTCCCACTGCCTCGTTGACCCCATGAGTTGTTCCCATTCTCCTTGATAGTCGATCAACGTCGTGTTGGTGTCGTCGATCGAGGGTCGGATAGGCATTCCGGTCTACAAAATACAGGGGCGCACTGGCCCTAAGGCTATGACGATACAGTGGTTGAAGTGTGTGGTCCTTGGTAGCGGGAGGGCGATGAATGAAAAGAGAGAGCAAAGTGCCTTACCCTTGGAGCGTGATCCGCATCCTGCGTGCGCTCTGGGGATTGCGCGCTGAGCAATCATGCGCCGCATGATATTTTGATGGATTCATATATTAGGTTGCTCGGAGAGGAATCAGCATGAATCCTGCTGGAGAATATTTGAATGACCGGTGCACGAATTGGGATAGTGGACTCTTATGGACCTCGTCTACATCTGCAGCCCTTAGAACTCGACGTGCATGGCGGAAAACCCCTAGAAAACCAAGAATGGACGCAGAAATGAGATGCCTTGCTGGTGTCGTCGAGATACGACGCGTCAAGAGCACGAACAGATAGCAAGAAATCAGCGGCCATGAAAGTATTTGCACGACGGGATGGAGAAAATTAGCCACGAAGCCTGAGCTTTCCCGAACACCTGCATGACGGTCGGCCCCCCTCGTTACTAACTTTGTACACTTAATGAAGCAACCCGAGGCCCTGAATCCAGAGTGAGCGTATGCAGTCGCCGCTTGAAATCAACAATTACGTTCATACCTCCCACTGTAGGTGAAAAGGTTGTATGCATCTTACTTTCCTTCATTAATCTCTTGGATTATAGCTGAGTGCTCAGCGATGAGCCTTCTTCTCGAGTACCATCCCCGCACGGATATGGCAGAACATGCCATCTACTCTATTGTCCGGAGAGATCGATGGCATGCGAGGAAGGAGCTTCCAGAGATTACCGAATCACTACGACCTTCTCCGCAAGGAGTGGAAGAGTTCTTCCTGAAGGGGGAGACAAGAAGACAACACTGTCCAGTCCAAGCCGAGTTGCCGGTCAGGCGCGCTTTCCGGATTTGGTAACCCCGACTATAGCGTTGAATGATCGCCCGTTATCTTATCTGTCCTCCACCGTCAAGATCAGATTTCTGCTCATGAAAAGCCTTTCCCCCGAAATTTGGTATATTAAAAGTGATAGACATAATCAGGACGCACTTCCAACTGTGGTGGTATTTTGGCTGGCCTGCGAATAAGACGGCGGGGGATGGTTCAAGTTGTAGGCGTCCGCTATTTCTGAAGCTAGTGACGCGCCGACATGAGCTTCGTTTAAGGGTGACGTAGAGGTCCTGTCCGTCTGCGAGAACGATGCAATGGGGCGGGAAGATGTCGTAGTATCGAGAGTTGTCGAAGATGTCATCGCAGCCGGGTTCGACGGCTGCATTGACTCGGTGTTATGGAGACTTTGATAGACAGTTTTCTCTGATATTTGATTCGAAGACGCCTGATGTTGGATTTCACGAGAGACAGGTGCGTCGGATGACTGAGAGCTGGGAGGCTCTTTAGGAAATGGGGTTGGAGCTGTGAGGTGAGTGCGGTGTGCCGAGGATGCTGGTGAATTTCTTGAACACGATGGGTATTGAAAGTCCCCAGAATTTGGACGTACATTGGTCCGATCTCTCCCCTTCAGACGCCCTCCTTCGTTTCCTCCTCCTTCTCCACAATAAATATCCAAGGGCACAAACAACCAGTGCCAGACCGCCAAGCACCCCTCCAACTATGGCACCCACTGGTGTCTCCGAAACTTCCGACGTTGAGTTATCGCTTCCATTCCCATCGGGTGATGTTGTAGGCGTGGACATTGGCGTAGAAGAGGCGCTTACTCCAGGCGCAGAAAAGGAGGGGAATTCATCCGACGTTTCGAACTCGAATCTGTCGAGAAGGAACAGGGTGTTACCGTTGGCCTCCGACCCACGATTGGTCACCACGACGGTATGATAAGTTTCTGGGAGAAGGGGTGACTCGTAGTAGAGCTCATTGTAGGAAGCAGAAACATTGGACGTCCGGCTGGTGGTGTTCGGTGAACCTCCGTCCACTGAGATATCGATAATGTTGGTCCCATCGCCCGGAGGAATGGTTCCCCATATCCAGAGTTGATAGCCTGAACACGGATGAGCAGCTCTAGGCAAGGAAATTCGAGGACAGGGGCTCACCGCGGAAGCTAAACGTGGCAGTTGCCCCCACCTGTCCTGTCGTATGCACAGTACCCTCCCACTGCCTCGTTGACCCAATGACGAGTTCCCATTCTCCTTGGTAGTCGATCAGCGTCGTGTTGGTGTCGTCGATCGAGGGTCGGAGAGGCATTTCGGTTTACAAATGGTACAGGGCCGCGCTAGCCGAGAGTAGTATGATACAATGGTTGAAGGAGAGACAGGGAGGACGGTCCTTGGTGAGCACTGGAAAGGCAAAACACCTTGAAAGGGAGAGCAAAATGCATCCACGCGATATTTTGATGGCTTCATATATATTGGGTTATTGTGAGAGAAATCCAGGAATCCTTGTGGAGTGTTTCAATGGGCGGGGGCGCGGCGCGGCGCATGAGGCGGTGCGAGAGGGAATCGCGCGGTCCGGCAGGAATCTAGCTGTAATCCTTGACTGAATCCCTATGATATCCCGGAACAGAGCACAAGATGCACGCCCGAGAGACTCGAGGTGGCTGAAGGGTGTCTGAGAAAATGAGGTGTGAGTGCTGTGAGATATAATTGATATTGCGCGTTGGAGAAAAACCTATCATGTCCTTCGGCGTACTTGTATCAAAACGTCGACAGCGTGCGACAAAGAATTAAACTGGGCGCCAATCTGCAATCTCCCCAGTCCGATCCAATTTTAGCGCTCGCGCTCGTGACTTTATAACAAGTATGTACTATGCTCAGTTATTTTGACTCTATACTTACCAGTCACATCTTGTGCCTTCCCTTATTGCTTATCTTTCCTTCATTTGATTGTCCTTTACGCATGTTTTACAGTTTACTCGCTGGTTTCGAGTAATCTCGGGTCAAGCCGCTGTGTGCATAAAATGTCGAGTCTCAAAGTACATCGTGGCATCCATATCAGGCCGTAGCGTGGTCAGGATTCGCCAATTTTATGTCTATTAACATCCAAATTTGCCAAATTTCCGTACCAACAAAAAAGCCGGGGATTTTGTTCACTCACTCGGGCAGCTTCAGCTTCCCAGGATGCCTGGAGGCTCTTCTCCTCTTCACTCTTTCCTTGGTTCCTTCGTCTCGTGTCGTCAGCCGAGCGAAAGAGCTTGCTAGAGGGAAGTCACTGTCTTCGCTTTCGCTGGACGTAAGTGTGAGGGTCCGCGAGGGAGTCAGAATCCATATTCTGTAGAGAGAGAGAAGTCAAGCCGCCACTCAAGGAGTTCAAGAGAAGGGAGCAGGGATTTACACTTTTCTCTCGTGCTGGAGGAAAGATATGATACCCGCCTTTACCACCATCGATTTCGATAATCGTCGGGCGCTTAGGCGAGGCCTTCAGTAAAATCGGCCGCTTCCCTAGAACACGAATTCTTTTCGTGTGGATATATGAGAAAGGCGCCGCGTCCAACGATGCATCAGATGATATATCCGGGAAATACGGTGGGATGTTATTATGAAGGAACGAGCATCCGTGCAAGGAGGGTGGTGAGTCAAATATCTGCTGTATTATTGGAACCCTTTCGTGCGAAGACTGGGGTAAAGAGAAGCCGGGCTCGTTGTCGCAGCTAACCACGGGTAGTGGTACAGGCCGCATAGCTGGTGCTGGAGGAGTAGATGGTGGCTGGAATGCGAATATGCCGAAGTAGTACATCTTCCATATATGTCAGATGTGGGAGGGTAATTTTCGAGCCGTAGTGTTGATTTGCAACGGGGATAAGTTCCCGGGATGACGGTATTGGCCTTCTTCGGTGAAGGTGATGACGGGTGTGGGCTGATGAAGATCATCACCAATATAGTTGGGATTAAATTGGCTGGCTGGATTAGAGGTGTGGGCGGCTCCGTCGAAGATGAAGGTCGCGATTTCCTCCTCACTGTCAACAGTCGGAGGGCAAGAAAGGATCTGCGGGTTGGAACAAGGATGTCTCCATGACCCAGTTCGCAACGCGCTCGTTCAAGCCAATGAAGGTGTTCGAGTAGAGACTCTGATCCATAATGCAGGATACGGAGTTTGCGATACTACGGTGCAGTGCTGTGGGGAGTAGTACTCGACCCATATCAATTATACTATTGAAATAAGCGCCCATTGTGGGAGAGATACAATGTGGATGCTCAAGTCGGCTTCAACCTCGAGGCATAAAACACAACGTTAAATAGACAATTCGACATTTAAACCTTCTCCTAGGTGATTATAACAGCAGGGCCGTGTGTCCATTGTCCCGGAATTTCCGACACTTCCGGGCGCCTAAAATTGCTTCCGTTTGCCCAAATTCGTCTCATCGTCGTATTGACATCAGAAAAACATATTTTACATCTACCTCGCATCCTGGTCCCTCCATATCTCTTACAATGTTGTTTGATCTTGACCCTCTTCTTTATTACCCAATTCCGAGCTCCTCGGTACGTGGCTAAGCCAAGTTAAACACCGGACTTTGTTCGCAGAGGTCGAGCTGGGCATGTATGGGGTGTCGAATCCAGCGGTGTATTCACTGGCTTCCGAGCTGCGCGCTTGGTTTTTATCTTCGTAGTCATCCTCTGGATCAACGTACAGCTTGACGCGTGTGCGCGTTTGTCTTGGAGTCTGGGTTCCCGTACATCTCGCCACCGTTCTCTCCCTCCGTCTCTCCCATTCTCTTTCCGTCCCTAGAAATAATGGCTCATCCACCGCTTCCGGAAATGTGGGTACTGAAGATGGGGGCGTGCTGGAGGAAGACGAAGCCCGCCGCCTGTGACGTGAAATTAGTGAGGGCGATGTATGCGGATAGGGGGGATAGGACAGCTGTGGTATCTTGCTTTGCTGTGTTCTGGTTCGGCTGCGGTCCGGCCAAGCTTTGTCCGCGACGTCGACTCCTCGAATAGCGGATTTTAGTGCAATTGAATTGGATATGACAGATTCGTCGGCGTCAAACCCGCTTTTGGTGAGAAAAAATGGGTTTCCGCCATCAACGTCGATCTCCTCTCTAGTCCTGGCGGTAGGGTCGAGCGCCGGCGTTCGCTTCGTCGCCTTTGGTGCAGACGGTGGAGAGCTCGAGGGAGAAGGTGAGGAATACATGACGCATGGCGAGCGTGAGCCCCTTCATCAGTATTTGAACCCTTTCAGTCCCGTCTTGTGGATTATTACACGTCAACTTATGAAGTGTGTTGGACAAACTTACGCTTGGTTTGCGAGCACATAAGTAGGTCTGTGGGCAACGTACCAGACAGAACACGCTTGTTCCTACCGCCTATTGAGTTCGTGCCTCATGTCGACCGTCGGTTTCTTACCGCTTTGATCAACTTCGGCTGGATTCATCTCCACAAAGCAGTCCACTAGTGTACCTACAAGAATACTTGGATGAAATGCGCGCCCACTAAGTCATCTGATAAAGCTCCCTTTCGTTCTGGCCGCCCACCTGAATTATTTTTGGAGCGTTATGCGGGCTCTTGTGTTCTTCGTAGGCATATGTGGTGGCTAGAACATCCTGCAAGAAGGGTATCTGACTTTAGAGCCAACAGTAACCCACAAAGTCGGGCCCGGTAGCTGAAGGGATGCTGAGAAGCATAGTACTTCGCCCACGATCTGCACATCTCCGGCGCTCTGACAGACCCGGCGCCCACATCCTCGTCAGGTGAATTTACCGTTGCATTTCTTATGGAAATAGCACTACGCTGCTGGTCGAGGAAGGCATCACCGACCACCGAAGCTCACTCGTACTTTGCCCACAGAATAAGCGACCCTTTCCCATGTACATCATTGAAGGGCTCACGGAAGCATGTTCTGTGTCAGAAATATACAGAACCCTGATGATCTACCCGTTATACGTCATGGGTCCAGTCTTTCAGACTACCGGAGGAACGGTGTCTAAAAAGAAAGCATCTACATATAAATTCCGGGGACGCGCTCAGGGATAGAAGATATCGGTCTTCTCGGTACGTTTTACTAGTACTAGCAGGCCGCCGGACCAGAGAGGCCCTTGCTTTCACGCCTCCATGTACCATCCCACAAGCCAAATGACAGATTCAAAAGGTAGGAATGTTAGTACACATCCTACTGATGAAAAGATTACATGCAATTTAGACTGTATCAAGCCGTTTCCAGCGGCTTTTCCTCAAGAACTTCTCGATCGATTCGTAGATTGTCTGGCTGCGGAATACCACGAACTTCCACGCTCACACTTCAAACGCACCAACACTCCGCACGAAATCAATACGAAGGCGTTGTTAAATTGTTCTCAAGCATCCTCTACGCTATACTGCCGTGCTACCAAAGGACTATTTTCGAGACTGTTTATCAAAATAGCCAGCCAAGATGCACCTAGACGATTTGCTGCCCTCGTAAAGATCTTAACGCCATCGCTAGCGACAAGCTCCACAGGCGTGCGTCTCGGTGTCGCACATCATATCGCTGAATTTTCCATTCTGCTCTACGGAAGAAGTTGTTTCGGTGTCGGTGACCCCAACACATGTCCAGCCAAGGGAGATGCAGTGAAAGCGTTGAACGATGATAGTTTGGTGTCGATTCTCAGCAAGCTTCAGACAGCGGAATACGGAATAACGAAGTTCTCCTTGACGTGGGGAACATCGTGCTGCCAAATTTCGTGGGCGAATCTTTCACCTCAAATCCAGCGATCCTTTCGCGATCTCATTTTGTCCCCACACCTTAGCCGCCTCGAGTTGGTGGGAGAATTTTCCAATCTCCCAGGTTCCATTTTTTCTGGTTCGAAGATACGCCAACTACAAGTCAACTCGCTCAACTTTGAGAGCGATCACCAGGCTGAACCAGCAGTTATTCCACCTGTCGGGTTGCCCAACCTTGAATCCTTTCACACAAATTATTCTTTCGACATCGACCTTTCGCCTACCACCTCTCCGCTCATGGAGCTCAAGAAGCTGAAGGCAATAAATATCACGCTTGGTCATTTAACGCGCACAGAAAGCATCTTGCGCCTAGCAACTAATTCACTGCAGAACGTGACGGTCCAATTCTACCGTGAGTAGACCCTCTTACTCGCTTCGTGAACTGACCATCCTACACAGTCGACATCCCACGGTTCTTGGTCGACTTCAGCTCCATGCCAAATTTGAAACGCCTGTCGATCTTGCAAGTGCGCGATACATTCTCCTCCACTCTATCTATCAACGATCCTGTCATCAACACCATTTGCGATTCCCTCGAAGGGGATGCCCCATGGTCCAGCCTCGTTTCGCTGAAGCTACACATCCGTCTCATCGGGCTGTACGGTCACCCAGACCCCTACGTTCTGGCCCTGAATTCGGGTTCTGAGTCGCACTGGAAAAGAATCGACGGCATTGTTTCCACAGCCGAGCGCTTCCCAGCCCTCAAGGACTTCCGCGTCAAGCTCACAGTTGAAACAATCATGGGAAACGGCGACAGAGCGACTACGACGATATTCCAGGGCGTTCGGTCAAGCTTTAAGGCCAGCTTCCCTCGTATTTCCGCGTCGACGACGATTCGTCCAAAGATCACATTGGATGGGCGCTTACATGCACGAACCGCGATGGACTGCTACCAGCTGATAGAGGATATAGAGAGCGACAGCGAGAGGGAGGAGATAATTCTCGAAATGTAGTACACAATATAGATTTATGTCCAAGGGTATCGAAATTAATTGAACATAATTTGTCGGGGAAGTCAGATGGCATGAGCCGTTACGTTACGCTCATATTCTGTCATTCGAAGTGAAATTCCAGCGGCCGACTAGCTCAGCTGGTTAGAGCGTCGTGCTAATAACGCGAAGGTCTTGGGTTCGATCCCCACGTTGGCCAGTATTTTTCACTGCTCTTCAATGTGAAGAGCACCTAGTAATCGATTAGTTATTGCGAATAGCTTCTTTCGTCTTCAATGTCGCATATATTATTATCGTGAAGGCCTCCGCCGGGCATTTTGTGTCACGCCTACCCATTTCTCAGCACGCGGATGTTGAAGACATTTTTTCGAGCCTCCTCAAGGACTGCTTTTTATTCCGGATCCATAGGCCGGTGGTGGAGGATGTTCGAAATGTTAAAAGCAAGAAAGGCTACAACAAATAAGAAATAACGATACGGCAAAGCGCAGGTCCGACTGAAAACGAATTAAACGAACAACTCCAACCTCGGAGCCAAGGGCAGGATTGAGAAAGCACCATGGAGAACGTGCCCAACTGGACGAATCGGAAGTACCCCAATCATGAGACATCCTTGCCGTCCATCGATACCTCGGACCTCTTGATCTTCTCCTTTGCCTTCTCCCTCCCCTTCCCACTTGCACTCCTCCGCATCGTCTTCTGAAACTTCCCAGCGCCAACGCCCATACTCCAAATATCGACCCCAGTCTTTCCTCCTCTCTTACACGTAATTGCAAGGACCTCGCCTTCTCCTCCTCCTCCTTGCACTTGCACTCGCACACCTGCACCTGTTCCACGATTGTATGCAAGCCCGCCCTCTCGTGATCGCGTAAAGCCAACCTTCCAAACACACTCCCCCGGCTCACATAACTCTCGCACGTACCGCCCACTAGCCACCTCGAAGAGCCGCACCCGCCCATCGTTCCCGCCCGTCACCAGATACCCGAGGGAGGGAGAGAACTGGAGGGAGGTCACGGAGGAGTCGTGTGCTGCGATGCGGTGCAGAGGCGTGTAGGTCTGAAGGGAGAAGGTGATGACGCGCCCGTCGGAGCCGCCGGTCGCCAGGATGGGAGTGGAGAGGACGGGTGGGTAGGTTGATGAGGAAGAAGATGTGTCGGGTTGGGTTGAGGAGGACGGGAAGGAAGGGTTTGGGATGTCCGTGTCGCCGGCAGAGGAGAAACGAGACGGGGACGAGAACTGCAGCTGGCACACAAGCGCGGTATGGCCTTGCAAGAGCGCGAGGCATTGACTACGAAAAAATAGTACATCAGACACTATTCATACAAACCAGAAACGAGCAACGGCTTACCCCGTCTGTGCGCTCCATATCCGCACCGTCGTGTCCAACCCGCCAGATGCGATCCGCACACCGTCGAACGCGACCGAGTAGACCTGATGGAAGTGCCCTTGCAGGACATGGAGGCACTCGCCCGTGTCGATGTCCCACAACTACACTCAAGAACCCACATAAGAATCCCCTTTTCCAAGGACCGAAAGAAGAAGAGAAAAAGACAATATACCCACCCGACATGTAGCATCGTAGCTCCCACTCACAACCCTATTCCCACACACGTCTAGACACCGCACGCTCGACTGGTGGCCCTCCAGCACGCGGAGGCACAGGCCCTTCTGTACATCCCAGACGCGGAGCGTCGCGTCACGCGCACCGGAGACGGCGATGGGGCGGTGGTGCAGCACACGTAGGGAACGGATGGTGGAAGTGTGTCCGTGCAGAACGTATATGCAGCGACTGCTCATTGGAGAGTAAGCATCGGCCAGCCGACAAAGAAAAAAGAAGAGAATCACAAAAAAAAGGATGAACAGAAGAGAGAAGAAAAAGGCGACAAGATGATGCACGTACCCAGAATCGACGTCCCACACCCTCAACGACTTATCACACCCTCCAGTCACAACGAGCGCGTTAGGCTGACCCCAGCCGCTCGACGAAAAGCAGGGATTGGAAGGTCTACCAGGCCCAGGCGGCGCCATCCTCGTCCTCGTCCTGCTCCGACTCGTGCTCTCTTCCTCAGACTCCTCCGACTCCGTCTTTGCTCTCTCCATACCCCGCCCTCTGCCCCGTCCTGCACTACTGTCCTCGGCCACCTGCCCTTTCCCGACCTCTGACTCTTGCTCGGACGATGACTCAGGTTCTGACGTCCCACTAGAGGAGCCTTCTTCGGAGGACGTATCCACTGATAGCCCAAGGGCGACGCGCAGCGCAGGCGGCAAGGTATATGCGAGCGACTGCGATGGCACGACTTGCATACCATCGCCGCCTGTTCCCACCTGTCCTCCAGCCACACCGACCTGGAGGCCAGAGAAGCCATCCCGGAGCGTACGGTCTTCGCCTTCTCTGACTTTCGGTTTGTCTAAGGGTTTCTTGTCGCGTTTGGGCGCCGATCCCTTCTTCGTAGCTCCTTTCTTCTTCTTCTTGTCCCTGCTTTCCTTCCTCCTACGTTCCTCTGCGAGTAGATCTTCGACAACGTCCTGGCCAGGCACGGCAAATTCCCCATCGCCATCGCCGCCACGGTGGGGATTCGGCACTTCCAGCCACCCGCCTGCTGAGACGAGGCAGACTCCCCATACGCCCGATTCATGCCCGACAAGGGTGCGTGCAAGGATACCCGTCTTCGCGGAGTAGATCTACGTGCTGAGGTTAGTAGATTTGTAACGCAGTGGAGGATTTGTTTACCTTGATCTTGGAGTTGGACAAGCCTACGACGACCCACTGTCCGTCCAGTGCGAGAGAGGTGACGGTTCCGCTGTCGGGGGAAACGATGAGCAGGCGATGGGACTGGAGAAGCGTCCCCCCATGTCGCCAGTTCATGCCTAAATAACAGGGATCAGCGCATTCCTGAAGAGGGTATGCAGGCAACTTACGAACAATGTACGAGCTCCTGAAATGTCTTCTCCATGAAAATTGGAGTATGGGTGGGTCGAGGCCGTGTTTATCTGGTGGTCGACGGCGTCGAATCATCCGCGAAGATGACGACTGCTCTCCTTCTCGTACCTCTTCCTCATGACCCTGTCCCAAAACCCTCCTCCTGTCCCTCCCCTTTCCCTTCTTCGCCCGTCTCCTCCTCTCCTCTTCATCCCACAACTCCTCCTCTCCACCGACATTATCAAACCCAAAATATACACACAGCTGCCTCCACACCCCTTCATCCCTCGCCACCGCCCTCCATCGTCTACACACCTGCGCCGCCCTCGTCAGCGTCTTCGGCTCATCCGCGAAGCTCAGCACATGCAGCGCAAGCTCCGTCGGCAACGAGCTCAGAAAATCACGCTTCAGCAGCGGTGCGATCGTCTGTGAGAGGAAGAGCAGCTCAGGGAAGGTGCACGAGCTGATGATCGAGGAGAGGAAAGCCAGCCGGGCGGCGGGGGTGGGCTGCGAGGCGAGGGCGGCGCTTCCGCTGTTGACATTGTTGGAGTTGCTGAGGACGAGAGCGTTGGCGTTGGGGTATGATTGAGGGTGGTGGTAGAGTGCCAGCCCGTATGGCTCGGGCTGATAGGAGGGTGCGGGATGCGCGGCGGGTCCTGGAGACGGTGCTGGCGTAGGTGGTGGATGCGTTGGAATGTAGACAGTCTGCGTTTGCGTTTGGCCGTGCGGTTGCAGGTGTGGGTGCGAAGCCGCGATGGACGCAGAGCCGTCTTGCAGGCTGGCACTTCCTGGATTCTCGATGGGGTTTCTCATGCTCTCTAGCTCCTTCTTCTGCTTGAATGTCGAGGAGGTAGACATAGTTTGATTAGCATTGAGGTCGTCCTGATGTATGGCTGATTAGGAGTTCGGCTCTGGTTCTATGAGTCTATCGGAATCCTGGAGGGAGTCACGATGAGTTAGGAAGAGGAACGATAAGGCTAACACTCGCACCTTGCAATAAAAACGAAAATTACGCCAAAATCCAGCACGCTCTAGCCAAACGAGAAGGGCGGTGAAAACTGGTCGAAAACTTGAGCTGTCATCTGGCTTGAACTTGAAGTCGGGGAACAAGATCTGTACCAATTTGGAGCTGGCCTCTTGTAGTGGTTCTATCGCTGAATGTTGTTCAGAGGTCCCTCAGAACGACGACGCTCAGACCCTTCAGCGGAGGTAGTGAAAGTTGGAAGAGATGTGGTTAGCGTCCGTCGAGTCGTTACTGACCCTGAGGCTTACGTGAGCCAGAGATAGTACAAATCGGGAAAAGCCCCTAATTATAATCCACTCACCTACAAACGCTTTTTTGAGTCTCACTAACACCTGCGGAGTATGGACTCGTCGACGAGTATCTTCAGATTATCAGCTAATTTGTAAGCAGAAACATCTTGCCGCCCTCCTCTCGCCAACCTCGTGCGGGGACGCCGAAGAGCTATCCGAGTCACCGATGCCGACTTTGCTGCTCTATCGAGCGCCAAATTACCTATTCTAACGTGCTACGCGTCGCTCTGCTTTACCAGACGTCCGTAGGACATTTTCTGCATCCATCGGATTAGCGCTTGGCGCTTCACCGTATGCGACGAGAGAATTGTGCAAAACAGTTCGAGTTTGCACTCGGGTCTCGATAGCTAAGTGGTATAGCATGCGATTGCAGTAATGTGATATCGCAGGGTCCGGTGTTCGAACCACCGTCGGGACTTACAGCTGTTTCATACATCGAAGGCTTTTTTTCTCGTCCTGTCGAAGCCAATTCAGTCCGGTAGCTCGGGTTCACAACTCGCTTTTCTGTAGCAAATTTGAATCCTTGTACAACACACTAAAAAACCTATCTATCTCGAGTCTCTTGACAAAATGACTATGAAAAAAAAGTTCGATAGCATATATGTAAACGACTACGATAAATATGTACATGAGGTAGGATTAGCACTAGCGTAGAGTAGGTAATCTGTATGTCGGTGGGTTGTCGAGGCTGGACCTCTTTTGGGTGATGTATACGGTTGGATGGGTCCATGTGGGTAGTGCATAGGACGTCGATGGGTAGGGCGGACGTGGGCAGGTGGTGGTGAGATACATCGACAGTCAAATGGTGGCATGAGGTGCTGGAGTGGGGGTGCTGGCTAATGTAAAGCCTGAGCATAAGGTCGTGATATGTCATGACACGGACGGCTATTGGTCAGCCTGTAGCATGACCGATAGGAAGTGCATGGTGGTGGATGGATGGCTGGCAATGAGGGCGACGAGGAGATCGGGGTCTAGAGGTCTCTAGGAATTAAACGGAGGGAGAACGGAGGAGGAAGACAAGCAGCCGGAAGCCGCGCGTCGTTACCGCCCCTCCCCCCACTTGATCGCGCCCTCGTATATCGAGTACATGACCGCCGCGTTGGGCACCACCCTCATCAAGTGGGCGGAGAGGCCGCTGTACAGCGTCCGCACGCCCTCCTCCGCGACGATCAGCCGTAGAGTCTGCAACAGCCCGGTGTACTTTATCACACCGTTCACGCTTGGTTGTCGAAGACGTGTTCTTAGGACCTGCAACATAATTTAAAAACCTAAGACAAAAGGCAGATAAAGACAAAAGGCAAAGGACGCACCTCATGAGGATAAGTGATCAAACTCGCCACCAACTTCGCCGACCCCGCACTGCCCAACATCCCCGCCCACTTGCCCATCGCACCCTGCCCATCACCCTGCGAGCTCAGCCTCTTCAACCTCTCATAAAGCACCCACTGGATCGTGCCCTCCGTCACCCCCAAATAACTCGCGCTCAAGCCCTTATAAAACCCCCTCACCCCCTCTTCCCTCAATATCTTCTTAATGCACATCCAGGAGCCCCCCAGCGCCTTGCCCTGCCCCTGCTCGAGCTGCAAGCGGGTCTTGACGACCCAGATCGGGTTCGTCGCGGTGCCGGTGACGATGCCCGCAATGGCGGCCGCGGAGAGGTGCACGTAGGAATTTTCTTGCCCGTGGTTGAGGTGCTCGGCGATGAGCCGCTTGCCGTTGCCGTATGTGAAGAAGTTGATTGACCGCGCGGGGATGACGCCGACGAGGGTGGGCCCGAGGCCTTTGAACAGCGCCCGGAAGGACTCTTCGCGGTAGATGTCCCTGGAAGACCGCGAAAACTGATGGTGAGAGACCGAAAGGAGGAAACGAAAAAGTGTGGGGTAGAGAGCTGGAACGTACCGAATGATGTACCCCGTCTCGACGAAGTTGTACAGCAGCCCCATCGACCGCGGGGCACCTCCCATGACAGCCGCAGCCGCCCCACCGCCTCCAGAGGTGCCCACGACGCCGACGGCGGCGTGTTTCTGTCGGAAGAGGTCTGACTGCAGTCGTGTCTTCACGACGTCGAACGGGCTCGTCACGATCGCGCCGCACATCCCTCCGAGCCTGTTGTTGGGTAATTTTCGCGTTCAGAGAGACTTTTCAAGTTCTGGAGGAGGGCGCTTACCCTCCTGCGACGAAGTGCAGCCACGGTTGCGCTTTTTGCGTTGGCGGGGATGGTAGCGTCGCCATTTTTTCGTGTAAAGTCTGAGTTCAAGGCTGGCTATCGTTGTCCAATTTCTGGCTCTAAGAATGCCAGAAGTTTAGCTGCGAAATGGCGGCGAGGAGGCCAGGGCGTAGTGACGAGGAGGAAGGCGGAAGGAACCAATGACGAGGGCGAAGTTTCCGTTGCCGAGTTTCTGGCGAAACTGAGTACAATTTTTTGAGCAGACACGTGATCAAACGCCTAAAAAAGATAAGATTTGTTTACAAAAATCAGATCCGTCACTCGAACTGACTCTACATGATGTTCAACTTGTACTTGAGCCCGTTGTCCTCCTCCTCCATGTCTTCATAGCCCTGAATCTGTATCCACTACCACACAAGACGAAAACTACAGAACGTCCATATTGTCGAAACAATCTGCAAAATGTTCCAATTAGCCATACTCAAAGTACGTCTCCAATTTCTTTAGTTCATTCCCTTGAGTTGACGTCCGTGTTGCGCGTAGGACACGATGGCGATCCAGCCAAACAACTTCGGTGCACCCGCAGACGAAGCCCTCATCGCAGAGATCAACAAGAAATACGCCAATCGCGTGCTGCACGACGTCGGGTTGTGTATCGCGGTCTTCGACCTCTCGCAGGCGGGCGAGGGGAAGGTGAGGTATGGCGATGGGTGTTTGTGGTACAAAGGTACGTCTTTTGGAATTTCGTGGGTGGCTATGGTGTTGATCGTGTTGGGAAGTTGTGTTTAGATTGGTCGTGTTTCGACCGTTTACGAGTGAGGTCATACTCGCGAAGGTGAAGTCGTCAGACGAAGATGGGATCCGGCGTACGTAGCCAATTCCTCTGACAAACAGTTGACGCTAACATCGTGTCAAGTCACAACAGGGTTCTTCGACGACCTCTACATCCCCGTTGCATACCTACCCCAACCATCCGCGTTGTACGTCCCTCTCACGTCCCATCTCAAACTCAGAACCGCTACTCAAAACGGCGCTCTTTTGCTCTTGCAGCGACCCAAACGAACGCGCCCATTTCTGGATCCCCGACTCGCCTCTGACCACCTCCACCGAGCTGCTCGACACGCCCGTCGCCTCGCGGACGTACATCGATGCCGGCGAGGTCCTGCGCGTGCGCGTCGAGTCAGACGAGTTCTGCGACGACGAGCCGGGCCCGCCGCGTGCCCACGAGGGCGTGGTCAGGGAGAGGGAGAGACGGAGGCCTGCGTACGTCGTTTGTGTGAGTCTTTTTCCCAGATCGGGAGTAGAGAGTGATGGTAATTGGGTTGATAGTGCTCGATCGCGGAACAAGGACTCGGGCCCGTCGCGTGGTGGACTGGGGAGGGAGAGGAAGAGGCGGGCGATGGGGTTGGGGACGAGATGGACCAAGGCTGATCACTCCGAGCCCACAAAAAGGAATATCAAGTGTTGTCGTCGACGGTATAATCCAATATCCTTATCCCATCCCTCACCTGCCTGCTTCCCGTGAACGGACGAGACACTACCGGACATCTCTGTTGCGCGCTCCTGAAGCGCCGTCCACGCCGCAAAATTGTCGGCCGACTAGCTCAGCTGGTTAGAGCGTCGTGCTAATAACGCGAAGGTCTTGGGTTCGATCCCCACGTTGGCCATGTTCCAGTCCACTCTTTCGAGCTTCTTTTTTCCCTTTTGCACCTATTGAAGCAGCCTGGAAGAATTGCCAGCACCGAGGTTGACCGGAAGGGTATTCAGAAACGCGAAGCGAGCAGTGCTGCTCGTGGCGCTGCTGCCCTCTTCTGCTGTAGATCTCTTCCGCAGCATATTCTCATTTTATATCCCAAATATGTAGTGCAAGTTTTAGCAAGAAACCCCCGATTGGGATAGGGAAACAAGGTTTCATGCTCTCTGCGCCACAACTGCCTTCTCTGAAGGTGGTACGAGGTCTCGATATTTGGCTGGGGCAGCGCTTTCGAGGCTGTTCCTTATTGTGATTTTTTCCTTTCGAGGCCTTCATCCAATTGTAGGTAACCTCTGCCAAGGCCTGGTGCACTAAATCTTCCGTGTTCGGAACATTAGTCGGGGCATATCTGGGCGGATAGGCAACACCAGAACCACTCCTCGACCTCGCGAATGACGGCACATGAGTCAACCTACTATCATATAGATACGCTACGGTGGGTGATAGTACTCCTCTTGCAAGGCAATGCAGAAAGATCTTGTACTAGCCTGTGCTGTACTAGGATTCCCATGTGGTCAATTGTCAGCTGTCTTGACATGATCTTGCTACCATCTCTTCCTGGTCTCTTCTTCCCCCGGCATCTCCGGAAAGTGACATTCTTGTGGTATTTACCCGAATGATACGGGCTTCATGGGGATCCATTACGAGTCGAGGCGTCCTGTTCCTTGGTCTCTAGCGCCTGTACTTAAATAAAAGCACTGGATCATCTATCATTATACATACCCTTGCCCATCCTCGCTTTCGGAACTTTTAATTTCACGATCGACATGACCTCCGACTTCACTCGTCCCACACGCTGGATTCTAATCGATCGCAACGTCGAGTACCGCGGCGTGTGGTCCTTTGTCACGGGACGATTCGACAGGACTGGGTATTTTGGCCCACCGTTCCGCGGCACTATGAACAGCGCTGAGGATGCAGGCGCCGGAATTTCGCTCACGTTCAATGGCGAGTCGCGATTATTGTGCCGCGCGTTGCTCGGCGTGCGCCACACGTTTCTTTCCTAACACGTATAATTGGATTAGCAGGAACGAACGCGTTCATAATGGGGACCCTGCCAGCCGCGGATGTAGCCGCAGGTTGGGATTGTATCATCGATGGGAGGAACCTGGGAGCGCCGGATCCCAGTCGGCTGACGTACTCGTCGAACAACCAGCGTCTGTGCTCGTTCGACGGCCTCCCGGAAGGAGAGCACAGGCTCGACGTGAATATCACGACACAGGGCCGGGAGTTCTACTTCGACAAAGCCGGGTATGGAACCAACAACACGGCTGCGAGCCAGGCGCTCGCTCCCCGCCCGGGGGAGGAGTTCCTCCAGGTCGACTTTACCGACCCCACGGTGAAGTTCGACCAAAGTTTGTCGTGGACGCAGACAACTTTTAATCGAGAGGACAGCTCGTTTATGAGAAGCGACGAGCCAGGAATTTCTATCTCGTTCAGCTTTAACGGTGCGCCCTTGAATATGTTAATGCCAGCGCGATAAAGTAGCTGATGCTTGTGCACCAGGGACTTCGGCCGTGTGGTACACCGACATACTCCCTTCACTCCCCTCATCCTCTGCGACCTACCAGTTCGACAACGACGCGCCCGTCTCATTCACCATTCCCCACGTCGATACCCCCACGTTCAATGTTAGGCTCTTCTCGACGCCCATACGCGTCGACTCCATGCCGCGCACGCTCAACGTGACGTACCGCGGTGGGCGTGGAGAGTCGCCGCTCTCGCTCAAGTACATCGAGGTCAACGACCAGACAGAAAGTATTGGGTTCCTCGTGGATCTGGGAGGGAGCAAGAGCAAGGTTGGGCCCATTGTCGGTGGCGTGCTGGGGGGGTTGGCGTTCCTTCTATGCGTCTTAGGGTTGGCGTGGTGGATATGTCGTCGGCGCCGCCAGAGAGGTGCTACCTCGGCATCGCTCAAGGGCGATTATTAAGCGATGGGCGCCAGACGCATTTCTACCGAAATATTGCACAGTCCTTATTTGTGCGTCTATGGCGGCTACGCGTCTGTTACTTCAGATCCTCTGGTGCTGTTTGCATAGTTCCCTATGCCTTTCCCTGTACATACCCACTGGCCTCCATGAAGCAAGAACGACGGTTTGGGATCCGATCAATGGCGCCACAACTGCCTTGTAGGACATCGTGACTCATATAATATATTCCTTAGCTTCTTGAGAGGCCAGGCGGATCAATGGAATCCTCGACGAAACATGGGTGTCACTGGCTCATTTTTAACACGTGCCTACGCGAATGATCACACGAAATCCAGCCCCTCAATACTGGCACTGCACCCCCAATATACTCTGCCCCTCCATTAACCTCCATGTCGTGGAGCGAGAACTTCCAACCCCCGAATTCCATTTTTATATGTTTTATAGCTGCGACTGGCCTTCATACTTGGAAGACTGGGAGGGAATAAAAATCTCAATGGCTTTATCTGAAGTTTACAAGCTTGGGCAATCCTTTACTACTTTTGGAGCGGCAAGTGGAAGCAACAGGACTGAAAGAGAAAACGGACGGAGCTTCTAAAAGAGTTCAAAATGGATTCCGGCCACCAATTCGCGAATTTTGCGTAAGGTTCCTGGGAATAGTAATTCCAGTACTATGGAGACCTCGTCAATACCATTGGGGATAACGAAGCGTAATGATGACACACCGCTGACGACGAACCCCATGCTCTTGCGAACAGGTCGGAGAGTATGAGAAAAAGGCCGCCATTCGGGTACCAGTAGGTCAAACCAGCACTTGTGGATTGACGCGCGACGGCAGACGGCTGGAGGAGTCTGGGACCGTCATACAAACGTATGAGGTTCGAGCCTGCATCTGGATCTCTCTCAAGAACCGACTCAATGAGAAAACCAAGAATGTGGCTGTCGTCGTAGTCTCCGGAGCCTGCCAAAGCGTTGAGGACTTCTACCGCTGTGCTGGGGTCAGCCGCCTGGAATCGGAAGCGGCTCGATCCATGCTCGCTATGGACAACGCATGGAATAGGCCTGGTATCGCAGTTGGGAATGCGAGGAGTTCTATAGCNAATTCTGATCGCACTCTGTGGAGAGGAATTGGCAAGATCTGTGCCGAATTCTCCCCTGTATGAGGAAGCGTGTCGTGAGGCCAAAGTTCGTCTTCGGGAATTGCGGCCCAGTCGAAGGTATCGGGAGCGGA